CTCGCTGCACCACAGCTTTTGTTTTCTTAAACTTAGACTGAGAGGGATAAATCTTGGAACAGCGGCCGCACAGACTTAGAACAGCCATCTTGGTGTGTTTGCCGAGTTGGGGTAGAGATACTAGAATCAATATTTGGAGAGAAAAAAGTTCTATTTAACCAAAAAGGGAATAGTGTATGTGTTAGACGACCGAAGAAGTTTTGTTTTCAGATAAATATTTTAAAATAGTACTTTTTTCTTATCGGTGCATTTTTCGATTATTACGTAGGCCTATGACTTCAAATTTTTTTTTGCAAATAAAAAAAAACCCACTAAGTATTTGCTGTGTGCAATACAATATATTTCACAGCTACCGATAGGAAAAAAAAGTACATTTCGTTCTTGTTTTTAAATAATATAATGCTTTCTATAATGTTTTCTTTAATTTCTTGAAAGAGTAATGGAAAAAAAACTATGCCGAGTGAGAGAAAATTACGAGCCCTTATAAAAAAATGACGGATTCTTTTGTATGAAAGTTCCCTTACTAACAATGTTGAGCAATGAAGTGTATTTCATCCAGCACCGGATTTAGACTTGCTATTTTCGGTATGGGTCCATTTACGGGTCCAGATTGCTAGGTCTATATGTCAGTGCCAAATATTTGTGATTACAACTGTAGTGGAAAGAAAACACGGTTTAAAAAAGATATTAATATATATATATATATATATATATATATATATATATATATATATATATATATATATATATATATAATTTGGCCCACCACAGTTTAAGAAAATTCTTGGGGGGGGGGGGGGGGGGAGGGGGATGGGGCTAAGGTACAGCTTGTTTAGCCTAAACGTAAATCCGGCATTAACTTAAGTAGGTGTTGAATATGAAGGGATGATCCCCAGTCTTCTTTCGAAATGTTTATAGACCAGAGACCTTAAACTGAACTAGACTTTTAAGGTAGTAATTGTGCGCTCTACTTCTCGACCACGCAAAATAGCTGTTAGTACAAAGTCTATATTTATGGATGTTTGATGTCAGTACTTCTCAAATAAAGTGAGAGCGGGTGGGGGGGGGGGAGGAGAGAAGAAGGTGAGCGGTGGTAAAAGTGCAAACACGAACTAAAAGTGCGAAAAATTTGCAAATACTAACTAACACATTTATCGCCAACACTCAATGGGGAATTGTCTGGGAATCAACTCGGTCACATTCAATTTGAAAATGAAAACATTGTATTGTCTGTCTGTCGCTAGCCGAATGACAAATCATTGATACAAATATATACATTAGCGTAGGCTGGAAATGGTTATGGGAGGGTTATACATACATATATATATATATATATATATATATATATATATATATATATATATATATATATATATATATATATATATATATATAGGTATTTATATGACTAATTATTTCCAAATAATTAATTCCAAATAAATGACATTTCGGTGTATATGTCATAATTATTCATGAAAGGGACGATAAAGGTCAGCGTCAAAACGAGGCTGAAGGTCAACACACGACGACCCTGGCCGAGTTAAAACCCAGATCCACCGGCGTCCACCGTGAGTGGATTTGTCTGCTATCCTGTTCCCTTTTGTTGTGGTCCATCTCTCGCTCACTGGGCACGTGCTCATTGCTCACACATTCGCTTTTGTGTCTGTGTGTTTGTCTGTGTCTGTGTGTGCGTGTGTGTGTGTGTCTGTGTGTGTGTGTTTGTGTCTGTGTGTGCGTGTCTTTGTGTGTGTGTGTCTATGTCTGTGTGTGTGTGCGTATGTGTGTGCGTGTGTGTGTGTCTGTGTGTGCGTGTGTTTGTGTGTGTGTTGTGTGAGTGTTTTCTTTTCTCTCTGCGTTAGTTGTGGTGTCGACTGCAGGGTAATTCCCGCTGGGCACCCTATCGGATCGAAGCCTGGAAACCTATTGTTTCTTTATACATTAGTCATGGCCGAGCCGTACCATTAAATCCTTTTAATTTAAGATCAGCGGCGGATATAAGAAAATAGCGAGGGTTTGGGCCCGTTTGTCATGGAAACCTACAAGTGTTTCTTCCAGACATTTCCTCGGAGGGGGGGGGGGGGGGGGGGGCGGACTAAAAAAAATTTGGGGGGGGGGGGACAATGATAAAAGTATATATTTTCTAGATAAATTCCATTTCGTTCCGGGGTGAGGGGGGCGGTAGACTATCTTCGGGGAAGCTCCGCAACCCCCCCCCCCTCCCGAACAGATGCCTGGAAGAAACTCTGAAACCTACCACTAAACTTCGTTTCGAAGAAGATGAATCGTTTGGTAAATTCCATTTTCTAATACAGTGCTGTTTCTGACAGTTTAAATACGGCGCATTTGTTTTCACTACGATTTTAATGCTATGCTTCATCATTTCCCGCCTCCGCCCCCCTAATGAATATATGCCAATCCTCAAGCTTGTGTGTGTTTGTACATTTGTTTTTAAACTGGGACGCCCTTGTGTATTGAGTTAATCTGCATGTGGTTATATAGGATTGTTTTATCCATGCCGTCTTTCATCCAGTCTTTTTTTCTCCATCCGACTAGGACAGTCCTTAGCAGAGTTTCTTCCAGGCATCTCTTCGGGGAAGCTTTGCCCCCCCCCCCTCCCCCCCCCTTCCCAAAAATAAAATTCTACCGCCCCCCCCCCCCCCCAGAACGAAATAAAATTTATATAATTTAAATAGAAAATATATACTTTTAACAGTGTCCGCCCTCCCCCACCCCCCCCCCCCCGAAGAAAGTCTACCGCCCCCCCCCCCCGAAAATTTCAAGTGCCCCCCCCCCCCCCCGGAGAAAAAAGTCTGGAAAAAACACTGGTCCTTAGAGGCTTTCTTTTCATTTTATCTCCGTCCGGATACAAACACGCACGCACGCAAAACACACTCACGCATATAGGCATATACCAGGGGGAAAAAGTTTTGGACATAGCATTAACTGCGCAGACCGACAACCAATATCACCAGGCAGGTATTGAGGTGGAACTCACGAGAAAAGCGCAGAAGAGGTCGACAAAGAAACACCTGGTTACAAGAATTTGAGGCTATCACCAATTAAGACGGGTATCACTTGGAGTCGGTGGCGTAGCGAGGGGGGGGGGGGGGTGCGGACCGCACCGGGTGACACCATTTAGGGGGGTGACACCATTAAGGGGGGGGGGGTGACACCAAGGCAAAAATAGCAAAATATATAGAGAAAAATGATAATTCCACTTAATTAAGTGATTAATTAGAGTGTTAAATAGTCTTTTAAGAGGTGCACATCGAAAGCTTGAGTGGGGAGGGCGTGCAAATCGAAAGTTTGGGGGGGGGTGCCAAATCGAAAGTTTGAGGGGGGGGGTGCTAATCGAAAATTGAAAGTTTGTTACGCCTCTTGGGGGGGGGGGGTGACACCATTAAGTGCCGCACCGGGTGACACTCGACCTCGCTACGCCACTGCTTGGAGTCAAGGTGGAAAAGATGTAAAGGTGACTGACAGTGATAAGGTTTGAGTTTAATATTATTAAAATTGATAGGATTATGGCGAATTTGTATTGGATAAAGGGGGGGGGGGGTAATTTTTGACTTAAAGCAGACTGGGGTAGCTACAAGAAGTAGGGTGGGGTATTGGATCTCTCTCCTGACCTGTCTACCGCATGACCTAAGCTGACAACTCTGCCACATGACCTACGATGCTGACATCTTCCTCATGACCTCGGTAAGTAGACAGACCTCTGCCATACCATCTCCTTTCCGCGTGACTGATACTTTCATTGATGAGCCCGGTGATCACGTGACCAGCCGACCATTAAATATTTCTGATGTTTACCACTAAGAGATATTGATCTCTCCACCGGTGCTTGTTTTCGTTTGAATCGAAACCTTACCTCCAACCGCTATCCCTCCCGACATCACCACCCACAACAGTCCTCACTCTACAACCCACACCACTCCCTCCTCTACCACCCCCTCCCTCACCCTACCACCCCCTCCACTCTCCCATCAAATATCCATCATTCCCCTCTCTCTCCCTGCCATCTGAACCACCCATTATACTCCCTCCCTTACAACCCACTCCCCTCCCACTATACTCCCTACCCTCCCCCCACCACACACACCCTACCCTCCCCCCAAATACACTCGCACCCTCCCCCCTTCACTCCCTACCCTCCCTCTTCTACCAAATACACTCGCCACCCCCCCCCCCCTCCTACCCTACCACCAAATACGCCCGCTACCCCCCACCACACACACACTACCCTCACCCCCAAATACACTCGCAACTCCCCCCTCCCCTTCACCACCCACTCCCTACCCTCCCACTACCACCAAATACACTCGCTACCCCACCCCCCCCCCCAATACACTCGCACCCCCACCCCCTACCACCAAATACACTCGCTGCCCTCCCCTACCCACTTCACTCCCGCACCCGACCACCCACTCTCCACATCCCCTTACCACCCACATCATTCCGTCACCCTACCGCAAACCACTCACTCCCCCTACCACCCACCATTGATTTGAAGTCATTGCCAATATCAAGGGACGTAACTAACTAGCATATATGATGGTGATCAATTGTTTATCATCCAGTAACTCACACAAGTGCAACAAAATAGTTAATTAATTGGCACAAAAAAAACCCACAGGGTGTTAGTGAAATTACCGCCCCTTATTGATTAGGAATTTCCATATATGGTAGCTGTCAAGAACTTATAGAGGTCACACGTTGTTACAGAAAATGACCTCAGTCAATGCAGTAATTCAATAACTTATTATTTTTTATATATAACATGATGGTTATTTCAAGTTTTATTAGACTACTGTTCTATGTAGTACATATATATAAAGCTTGTTATTATTATCAAGGTTTTTATACATGATTTAGTTTTTTACTTTTTAATATTTTGAAACTGTCAACATAAGCAGATAAATCTTTTTAAGATTAAAAAAAAACTACTTCAATTATGAAAGACGCTCAACTGAAGTTTTAATAACATGAATTAGACAATGGAAATTTGATTTTACCCAACTTTATTGCATAGAACATACACATTTCAAACATGATAAAAGAATTAAAATTTATAACATGAGATATTTTAAATTAGAACATGGGATATGAGTTCAACCCTGGCCTATGTACAAGACATAAAAATAGCATCATGAACGGTCAAGGATTAGTCAATGTTAAGTCAATAAATGATGAAACATTAGTCAAGGTGTGGTCAATGATTGCAGATGCATTATGAATCAAAGAAAGTCAAATGAATAATCAATGATTAGTTGAGAATAAATGAGTGGTCAATGATTGACTATTGAGCAGTAAATAATTTGACTACTGACTAAACTATAGTTGGTGAACAAGAAGTCAGACAATGAGTGGTCACATCGTGGTCAATGACTGTTCAATGATGTATCAATTTTTGTTTATTGATTTATGCATACTAGCCACTGATGATTCATGACTGATATATGAATTGTTAATGAGTGGTCAGTAATGGGTCCATGACTGATCAATGATAATTAAATCAGTGATCAATGATAGGTCAATCAGTAGTCAATGATAGGTCAATCAGTGGTCAATGATAGGTCAATCAGTGGTCAATGATAGGTCAGTGGTCAATGATAGGTCAATCAGTGGTCAATGATAGGTCAATCAAAGATCAATGATAGGTCAATCAGTGGTCAATGATAGGTCAATCAGTGGTCAATGATAGATCAATCAGTGGTCAATGACAGGTCAATCAGTAGTCAATGATAGGTCAATCAGTGGTCCATGATATATCAATCAGTGGTCAATGATAGATCAATCAGTGATCAATAATAGGTCAATCAGCGGTCAATGATAGGTCAATCAGTGGTCAATGATAGGTCAGTGGTCAATGATAGGTCAATCAGTGGTCAATGATAGGTCAATCAGTGGTCAATGATAGGTCAGTGGTCAATGATAGGTCAATCAGTGGTCAATGATAAGTCAATCAGTGGTCAATGATAGGCCAATGATAAGTCAATCAGTGGTCAATGATAGGTCGAGCAGTGGTCAATGATAGGTCAATCAGTGGTCAATGATAGGTCAATCAGTGGTAAATGACAGGTCAATCAATGATCAATGATAAGTCAGTGGTCCATGATAGATCAATCAGTGGTCAATGATAGGTCAATAAGTAAGATAAGTAAGTATCTAGCAGAGTTACAAGTGTGTGATTTATGTACAATATGTGATGTCTACTAACTCCCACAGAGTTTACCCATATACCATGTCATGAATATGTAAGACACTGGTTGAGTGGATGCATGGGGGCCATGCTCAAAGTAACTAGGAATGAAAGTCATGACCTGGTGGACTAAATTCTTGGCAATCAATGGCTGAAAAACCTGAGGAATAAAAACAGTTTTAAACTTATAAAAAAATGTATGCAGCGACAGAGCCAATGAAAAAAAAACAAATTACTTCCTTCATATTTAATCGGAACTGGGCATTAACCCCCCCACCCCCCCCCTGAGTAATTACCCCTATGTCAATTACTACCCCCCCTCCCCCCCCCGGCCAGTAGGACATTACCCCCCTCCCCCTCATATCTTGATTAAAGTATTGCTAGGGCTAGAGTTAAGGTTAGCGCTAGATGAATGCTTAGGTTTTGGTCTTTTTCTTACAGTTAGGATTAAGTAATATATAGGTATAGAGTTCGAGTTACAGTCAGGATTTTAAATTGGGGGGGGGGATTTAATGTCCTAGACCCATATTTAATACATTATTGTTTCTTGTTAAATGAAGCAACACACTAGTTTAAGTTCATAAAAGATAATGTTTAAAATCTATACACAATTTCTCTCATTTTTCTTAATGACTGTATTCTAAATGAAATGTTAAAAAAATCAGTGATTTAAAAAAAAACCATCAGATTCGTGTGCACAATCCAATAGAAAAAGTCAATACAACGGCCATTAAATTATTCAACAGAAAAAGTTATTCAAACCATCGTAATGGCACCACCCTTTATAAAAATATTTGTCTAAACCCATGGATATATTTACTTAGACCAATGACAGCATGCTTAATAAAACATTTATCTAAACGGTAGATATGATTACTTTGAACAATGCTGTAAAACATGTATCTAAACAGTAGATATGATTACTTTGACCAAAATTGTAAAACATTTATCTAATTGGTAGATATGATTACTTTGACCAACGTTGTAAAACATTTATCTAATTGGTAGATATGATTACTTTGACCAACGTTGTAAAACATTCATCTAAAAGTAGATATGATTACTTTGACCAACATTGTAAAACATTCATCTAAAGAGTAGATATGATTACTTTGACCAACATTGTAAAACATTCATCTAAACAGTAGATATGATTACTTTGACCAACTTTGTAAAACATTTATCTTAACGGTAGATATGTTTACTTACACCAACATCAGAAACATAATGAAGATGTTCCAGAGTGCTATGAAGATTCTAAGATGCCTGAGGCTCAGCAGGAAGTCTCTGACCTTGTCCCCTGGAACATTGGGGTCACAAGGTTAAGCGATTACTTCATCAGGAAAGGGGGTTAAGTTTATCAGGGTTACTTCATCAGGAAAGGGGGTTAAGTTTATCAGGGTTATTTCATCAGGAAAGGGGTTAAGTTGGTCAGGGAATTTTATGTGTAAATGTAGTGGTTCTATGATAGTAAGAAATAAAATAATTCTTAAACTAGTTCATCATCATCTTATCCTGTTCATGAACAAGATATGAGACAAATGAAGTAGAGTTCATCTGTTTTAAAGGTATGCAAGGTAATAGTGTAGTCAGCACTATGCCCATTAGCCTAACGCAAATCAGGTGCCCATCAGAGCTGGGTAGACTCATACTGATTTGAGCCTGGGATTCATACTTGAGACTTTAGGGTTAACAGTCATAAGCTCTACCATTTGACCATGCCATCCCCCTTAAACTAGTAAGAGACAATAAAATACGTGACATGTACTTTCAACTGGGTTAAATGAATTCCAGAGTCACATGTCATGCCACACAGAAGATCTCGTATACAGAGAAACTCAGCAGGCTAAAATTTAAAAAATTCATGGTACATTTTCAGCCGTAACTATCCACATGACAGATGAAGTAGAGTTCACCTGCGTCTATTATATCTGACTATGAAGAGTTTGTGTGGCCAGTACTATGCTTAAAGACTAGCACATTTCCTAACTAATGTCAGGTACCCATGCAGGCTGAGTGGACTCAGTGACATTAGACTATCTCAAAACTTCAGAACTAAACTCAAACCTTTGCATTAGTAATCAAGTGCTTAACCACTCAGCCATGCTGTTCCTAGCCATATTTCTAGTCCTAAAGATTTCCATTGTTTAATTACCTGTGGACTCAGTGCTGGCCATGAATGCAACTTCATCTTTAGACCTTTTCCTAAACAGAAATAGTCATTAGAATTATTAATTCACCTATCAATACATCTAACTATTTTATCTACAACAAAAATTAAACTTTTAATAATAATACATTGCCAGCAATCATTAGCACTTTCAGTATTCAGGACTGAACTAGTCATGCTCTATAAAGTACATGAAAGTTAATCGTCTAGACCTACAGTTTGTAGCCAAGAAATGTAAGACTATATAAGGGCAATAATCTCTCTCAATATTTCACAACCACCAGAGCTGCAACACAACAGTGCATTGATTCAAGTTGACACGGTGCACGTCTAGAATATTGATCACATTTAGGTGCCAGTGTTAACTCACTAGCTATAAGCTAACGCAATTAGTATGTAATTGATTGTTTCTGTCTTTAAACCATGACAGACACAATGGGTGGCAGTCCATGTCTAGTCTAGATAACTTAAGCTGTTTTAATAAGATAAAGAAATAACTTCACAATTATGTCACTAACACATACAGTCCAAGCCTATTCTAGACAAGTGAAGATTTTTTAGTGAGATGAAATAACTCACAGTTACATCAGCAATACATAGATGTTAAACTATTGACAACTTAAAATTGATACATGTATAGATGTTAAACTTTGACTTACAACTTAAAATTGATACATGTATAGATGTTAAACTATGACTTACAACTTAAAATTGATACATGTATAGATGTTAAACTTTGACTTACAACTTAAAATTGATACATGTATACATGTTAAACTATTGACAACTTAAAATTGATACATGTATAGATGTTAAACTTTGACTTACAACTTAAAATTGTTACATGTATAGATGTTAAACTTTGACTTACAACTTAAAATTGATACATGTATACATGTTAAACTATTGACAACTTAAAATTGATCCTGTATAGGTGTTAAACTTTGACTTACAACTTAACATTGTTACATGTATAGTTGTTAAACTTTGACTTACAACTTAAAATTGATACATGTATAGATGTTAAACTTACAACTTAAAATTGATACATGTATAGATGTTAAACTTTGACTTACAACTTAAAATTGTTACATGTATAGTTGTTAAACTTTGACTTACAACTTAAAATTGTTACATGTATAGTTGTTAAACTTTGACTTACAACTTAAAATTGAGCACTGCCCCAGCATTCACCAGCAGAGTTCTGTAAGATCAACAAAACAAAACAAGTTAAAAAAATTATAGTTTTTAATAATGTTCACTAGCTAGTCCCGCAGAGTTCTGAAAGATTAACAAAACAAAACAAGTTAAAAAAATTATAGTTTTTAATAATGTTCACTAGCTAGTCCCGCAGAGTTCTGAAAGATTAACAAAACTAAACAAGTTAAAAAAATTATAGTTTTTAATAATGTTCACTAGCTAGTGCTGCTGTAAGTCATCAGGAACATGTTTTTTTACAAAGGAAGTCTTTAAAGATTTAAAACAAATACCAGGAAACCCTGTGGAATAATTAGCTATGTTATTCAAAACATATTCATTATCTAATATTTCATTAGACCTCATTAATTATGCAGTTGATTGGCTGTTTGTGAGGGTTTATGTTTTTCTCAATACTAATTAAAAGCCATAAGCCAGATGAAGTAGAGTTCATATTATCTTGACCGCAGGGTATGAGAAATGGTGAGGTAAGCACTATGCCCAATGTGATGCAGGTACCCACCAGAGCTGAGTGAACTCAGGGACCGAGATCCAAACTCAAACCTTAGGACTTGTAGTGGAATGTCAATACTAATTAACAGTTTTGTGATTCTAGGAGGGTCAAGCAATATCCCTCCCTACATCAGCATAATCCTATAATATGAGCACCTAGGTGTTTTGTGTCCAATGTGTTCATGCCTATCTAATCTCAGAGAGCTAAGTCCAATCTAGCTAACCTGATAGACAATGATTCATTTAAAAAGAGATCCATTCACGCATCCATCAATTTAATGACAATGTTAATGTTGGCTGTGAATGAGAGACTTCATGGACAATGTCATACAGATGACCTCATACATACAGATAACATATGACATATCATATGAAGTTTTCATGCATGTGGAAATATGCATGTGACAGATGTTCTCATAAACACTGAGAAACCACCATTGGTGGGGGGGGGGGGGGGGGGGTGGAGGGGCAGGTGGGGTGGGGGGTGGTTCACACTATGGATCTTATAAACTGGGAAACACTTATGGTAGGGGGAGTCATTGAGAATCTCAAAGAATATGAAACATCAAAGGTGATGCTACACAGATTAACTCATTCATTCAAACATGATTCATGGTGCCAAAGATCCCATACACAGACACATCATGGGGGGGGGGGGGGGGGGGGGTTGGATCTCATGCACAGAGAAACATCATTTGTGGTGCCACACAGATTAACTCATCCATACAAACATCATTCACTGCACCACAAACAAGATCCCTTACACACAGAGCATCATCATGGACTATGAATGTCACATCATGGACTGGAATGTCACATCATAGACTGGAATGTCACATCATAGACTGGAATGTCACATCATAGACTATGAATGTCACATCATAGACTATGAATGTCACATCATGGACTATGAATGTCACATCATGGACTGGAATGTCACATCATGGACTGGAATGTCACATCATGGACTGGAATGTCACATCATGGACTGGAATGTCACATCATAGACTGGAATGTCACATCATGGACTGGAATGTCACATCATGGACTATGAATGTCACATCATGGACTATGAATGTCACATTATGGACTGGAATGTCACATCATGGACTGGAATGTCACATCATGGACTGGAATGTCACATCATAGACTATGAATGTCACGTCATGGACTGGAATGTCACATCATAGACTGGAATGTCACATCATAGACTATGAATGTCACATCATGGACTATGAATGTCACATCATGGACTGGAATGTCACATCATGGACTGGAATGTCACATCATGGACTGGAATGTCACATCATGGACTGGAATGTCACATCATGGACTGGAATGTCACATCATAGACTGGAATGTCACATCATGGACTGGAATGTCACATCATGGACTATGAATGTCACATCATGGACTATGAATGTCACATTATGGACTGGAATGTCACATCATGGACTATGAATGTCACATCATGGACTGGAATGTCACATCATGGACTATGAATGTCACATCATGGACTGGAATGTCACATCATGGACTATGAATGTCACATCATGGACTGGAATGTCACATCATGGACTGGAATGTCACATCATGGACTGGAATGTCACATCATGGACTGGAATGTCACATCATGGACTATGAATGTCACATCATGGACTGGAATGTCACATCATGGAGTATGAATGTCACATCATGGACTATGAATGTCACATCATGGACTGGAATGTCACATCATGGACTGGAATGTCACATCATGGACTACAAATGTCACATCATGGACTGGAATGTCCCATCATGGACTATGAATGTCCCATCATGGACTATGAATGTCACATCATGGACTGGAATGTCCCATCATGGACTATGAATGTCACATCATGGACTATGAATGCCACATCATGGACTGGAGTGTCACATCATGGACTGGAATGTCACATCATGGACTGGAATGTCACATCATGGACTATGAATGTCACATCATGGACTATGAATGTCACATCATGGACTATGAATGTCACATCATGGACTGGAATGTCACATCATGGACTGGAATGTCACATCATAGACTATGAATGTCACATCATGGACTATGAATGTCACATCATGGACTATGAATGTCACATCATGGACTACGAATGTCACATCCTGAATGAAACAAACTCCCCCATCGTGGCTGACACTGGCAACAAGCCCTCCTGGCACCGGCGTCATTAGCGTGAGGCGCCTGCCACAGCCAGGACATGTCTGACATTTACTCTCCACTTATGAATGTTTGATGCATGCTTGTAGAGTTATTGATTCATATAGATCAGCCGGTGGTGCTGGAACAAGTGAGTTCCAGTCTGTCTGCTAGTTGTATCAGGAGATCTACAACAAAATGATGTATTTTACGCAGATAACGCAAACTGTATATATATAAAAAAAAATCAATGGGAATTCAACTAGGGGTTGGTTGAGGGTATAAACAAAGGGCCGTAACTGATGTATGGGAAATGTAGGGCAGATAATAATGGGTTTTGTAGTGAGTAATATATCGAGAAATATTGTGTAGGGGAGGATGAGTTGTATAGAAGACTGGTAATAAGTGAATATGTGTAGAGAAGGCAGCTGTGTAAATAATTCAAATGTGGAGACAAGTGTAGAATAGTGTTTAAATAGTGATAATGTGTAGAGAAGAATGATGTGTAAATAGTAAAAATGTGTAGATAAGAATGGTGTGTAAATAGTGAAAATGTGTGGATAAGAATGGTGTGTAAATAGTGAAATTGTGTAGTTAAGAATGGTGTGTAAATAGTGAAAATGTGTACATAAGAATGGTGTGTAAATAGTGAAATTATGTAGTTAAGAATGGTGTGTAAATAGTGAAAATGTGTAGTTAAGAATGGTGTGTAAATAGTAAAAATGTGTTGATAAGAATGGTGTGTAAATAGTGAAATTGTGTAGTTAAGAATGGTGTATAAATAGTGAAAATGTGTAGTTAAGCATGGTGTGTAAATAGTGAAAATGTGAAGATATGAATGGTGTGTAAATAGGGAAATTGTGTAGTTAAGAATGGTGTGAAGTAAGTGAAAGTGTGTAGGTAATGATGGTGTGTAAATGGTAAAAATGAGTAAAAAAGATAATGAGTTCATAAAACTGGAAATGTAAACAGTGAAAATGTGTAAAGGGGACAAGTATAGTTCAGATAAAAAAATTTGTTGAATCAGTCAAACTAGGACTACTATATCAGTAACATTAATACCTGTTTTTTAATGAAACTACACAAAAAAAAACCTAACGGCTGCAACTATTGTGGTAAAGTTTAGAGTAAAAACTAAAATTGCTTCAACATCTGCGTAACCCCAGCTACAAAAACTCTTCTGATGAAACTAGAGAAGAAAAAAAAAATGAACCCAGGATGTCTCAACTAGAAAGGGTAGGAATGTGTGATGCCACCACCACCGCGGTGAGATGAAACACATCAGACTGATGAAAGCTCAATTGACCTTTAGTACCTTGGCTCTCCTTTTATACCCTGGCCTGACACAATTTCCCCTTATCAAAAGTGCCTCCTGACACAGGGTTGGACCAATTACCCAGACATTTTGTAACGCATCAGCTTTCACTATGGCAGAGGTAGGGAAATGGTGGCTTATTGAATTACTTGCTGTCTGTTTTTATAGTTGGATAATATGTGGGCCCTGATAATAATTAAAATCTTAGTATCTCCAGATAGTAATAGAGGATTATATATCCTAGAATGTTGTACACCTAACATAAAGGGTTAGAAATTATTTTACATTTTAAAATTTTAACTAAAAACTTCTGTTTAACTGTCTTGAAGCACAAATAAAAATTATAATAACAGAATAAAAGTATTATTTGCGATCAACTATTTACAGTCAGTTGTATGATGAACAGAAAATTTAAACTACACATAAAAACAACAAAAATAGAATAACATGCAATACTGTGGCCGTATAATTATTAGTTCAAATTATAACAAATTATTCTTATATAATGATGTTGAATACAACTGTTTAATTTTGACACCTAATTAAACAACTTCTGTGCCCTCCCCCCCCCTGCCCACCATACACATGAAAGCAATAAAGCTTTTAATATGTCCATATAACACAGTAAAATAATAATTTTTAAAACATAGGGAGAGGGTGAGTCTCTTCACCCAATGGTAGAATGGTAATGAAAGTAACCACCTTTGACAGAGCAGGGGAGATAACTGTAAAAAAAGAAGAATTACAATTTTTCACCTAGATTCATGCTTGAGACAAAATTATTATCTTTTAAAATAAACAGTTTTTTATGATGAGCTAATAAAAAAATAAAACAATTAAAAAAGCCTTCTTTCACATATCAGCTTACAATAAAAAAATTATTTTTCTTGGAAAAATACAGACATACTTATTAAAATGCTTATACAACCTCACAGTAAAATCTCATACAGCTTAAAATATAAAGGATAATAAAAGAATATATAAAACTGGTGTGTAAATAATTAAAATGTGTAGGCAAGACTAGTGTGTAAATAGTGAAAATGTGTAGAGAAGACTAGTGTGTAAATACTGAAAATGTGTAGATAAGAATGGTGTGTAAATTAGTGTGTAAATAATTTTTGTGGAAGTATTTACCTTTTCAAAGCTGAATAGCCAGATCAATAATGATGGTGCCTTTTCCCTATTATATATAACTAACATATTCATAAAATTAAAAAAAATTGATAACCCTTTCTAATAGTAATAGTTTGTCCCCCTAAAACAATAATGGTAAAATTATATTTTCAGACTGATCATTTCATATTTCCAATCTTTATTATGTATGTACATTTCCTACGTATTTATTATGTATATACATATTTCTGTACTAAGCACATTAAAAATCATCTGATCCTTTACATTTTTAATTAAATGAATACAAAATAATGAAATAGTTTTAAAAAATAAAAAAATCATTTGATTCAAAATAAATAACACAATACAAATGCAAAAAAAAAAAAACTATAGTGATAAAACACAGCAAACCATAAAAATCATCAAGCTTTTGGAGTTAGAAATCACTGCCAGCTACCATATTTTATTGACTAGCACACCAGATTTGTGGAGTATCACTTTTTCACAACTTTTGGCTGGTTTACTCAGATTTTTAAAACTGAATTAATCCAGGCTCTTAATCAGCTGGCGGCCTTAATTTTTGCATTTTTACAGTTTTGTTAACTTATATATACATACTAGCCGTCCCGGCCAGGCCCTGCTCTGGCTTCTGTGAAAAACCTTTCTGTTAAAGACCATTACCTGTGTGTTTAGTAATCATCATAAACCCGGCATTGCACACCCAAACCCAAACCAAAACAAAACGCAAACATAAAGCTAACACAATTACAAATACAAACGAAAACAAAAACCTAACAACTAACCCAACCACAACCACAAACACCAATACGAACACAAAGAAAAAAAACAAACGAAAAAGCAAACGAAAACAAACCAAATCCAAATGCAAAACCAACCACAAACCCAAAGAAAAAAACACAAACGAAAAAACAAACGAAAACAAACCAAATACAAACGCAAAACCAACCACAAACACAAATACAAACACAAACGCAAAGAAGATAAAACACAAACGAAAACGAAAAAAGAAAGAACAAAAACGAACCAAATCAAAACGCAACCACTAACGCAAACCCAACCTAAACACAAAGAAAACACTAACGCGAACATAAACGCACAGTGCTCAGAGTCTAGCCCGGGGCGGAATCGCCTGTTTCAGCTTAATAAACGACTATAGTACCCCAACTTATTCATAGTCTTTTGCACTCACTTTAATGAACGTAGGTGCGAAACCGAACACGGGAGGCCCGGGACCCCAAATAGCACCCTGTCTGGGCGCCAGAGGACGCACCATGACGTCACCGCCTGATTGAACTTAGTAAACGACTATAGTACATAACTTATTCATAGTCTTTTGAACTCACGCGAACGTATATACCATAGCGTACACCGGAAGGCCCGGGGCGCCAAATAGCACCCTGTCGGGGTGCCGGAGGACGCCCGGATTTGATTCACTTAAAGACTATAGTAACCTTTCTTACCCATAGTCTATCGCACTGTTAAAAACAAAACTATGCAGCATAGCGCTCACATGATAGCCCAGGGTGCCAAATCGAACCGTGCAAGGGCGCCGGCGGACGCGCCTGTTTCAATTTAGTGAACAAAAATGATAATACTATAAGCTTATCCGTAAATGGAAAGAAATTAACATATAGGATTTGTAGGACCTGGCTTATTAAATGTTATTGATTTAAAAAAAAAATATTGAACAGTATGTTCAGTGTATAGAATAAATAAAAGGCAGTGTTAAAAATACCTAACGACATTGCACTTAATCAATCCCCGCTAATTATGTAATTATTTTTTTTTCTTAACACCAAAAACAAAGTAATAAAATGTAAATTCTTTCTTCTTAAGAATTTTTTTTATTAAAGGGAAGTAACTGTGCAGTCAATACATTTCCGACACAATTTTAGAAATTTTATAAACGTCGATACACTTTTAAAAAATTTTATGTCGCGTTCATTATTGAAAATTATTCTTCTAAGTAAATAGAATGAACATTGTTTTTAAAGACTTTCAATGGAAATTTTTTGACTCGTACATTTAGACTGTGAGCACGATAAAAAATCTAACACTTAAATCCATAGAACTGTCAACGACAAACTTTTTTGCCACACGTTACAGAACTGAGCTTTATATATTAGATATATATATTTAGTCATGTATATTTTCAAGCATAGAATAAGCAAATAAGGATGCTCACTTATTTGATTTATAAAAATCAAATTAGCTTTTACAATTTCCAAAACCATAGGCCATTAAATAAGTTTTTATAGGCTATAAATAAAATAATTACAGGTGGGACTTTGAAATAAGATTTTAATTCATGCCACAACATTGTTCTTATGTCATTGCTCATATCTCAATGCAATTTTCTTTACTGATAATATTAGGGTTGTCGGTATCGGCCGAGATCGCGGTAAAAACATGACCCGAAATCGCCCATTACTTTCTGATACCGGGAGATTTGGTTTTGCATACTAATAAGTTTTTAATTTATGGTAATTAATTAAGTTTAAAAGGTCATTTCCTAATGTTAAATGAAAAGTAGAATGGTTTTCCCATTGTTTTGATGGCTTAGCGATCTGATAGCACGCTGTCTCTGCTTTGGTCTTCCCCCTGTATGAAGGCTAGTTTCAAATACGTTGGAATCACGATTTTTTAAAAGGTTATTCTAGATGAGTGAAGATTACTGAGCAGACATATCTTATATATGTGGAAATGATATTTGTTTTTGGATATTTTGACTCTGACATTAGATATACTTGTTTAGAGGTGGTCACTGTATGTAGGTCGCGTTGCCACCATTGTTATATTTTTTCATCCCGATCTTCCGGCCTTAAGTTTGATCAACTAACAACAGCATTCTTATGGAATGTGCAAACAAATCTCCTAATTTTTTATTTCAAAATATATATACATAGCCATCTTTAATTTTTCAGCTCTAGTTCTAGTTTTGCAGAATATGTTTTTCCTAAAATCCAATTTTGTCAGACTAGACTGACAAGAGTCAGACCTAGATCTAGGTTACCTGTCTGTTGCTAACACTAGCATTGTGCTAACTGTAATTTTAAGTATTCAAGTTCTACTTACCCTTAGAGGCCTTAGATATAGTTATATGCTGAAAATCAGAATCCATACACAATTCACACATAAAAAACATTGATCTGATAACTTCATTTCACTTATTACAAAATGGCTTTTATATGGACTCTACTTCACCTGCCCAAAATAACAAGGCAGTTATAGACACATTACAGTGTTCAAGTCATTTACTTTAGATTTCTGACTATGGAGTTCTTTCATTCTTTAGAAACATTTTCATATTTGCGCAGCAGTTTTATAACAAAATGGCTTAAAGATGGACTCTACTTCACCTGCCCAAAATAATGAGGCAATTATATGCACATAATAGTGTTCAAGTCATTTACTTTAGATTTCTAACTTTGTAGTTCTTTCATTTGCTGTATTTATATAAAATATGGCTTTAGAAACATTTTCATATTTGCGCAGCATACAGTTTTTTGGGGTTATGGGAGGAAGCCAACACAAAAATATAAGTTCTGTATTATTTTTATTCATTTCAACAGCATTTACAAGTTCTATATATCATTCTAGTTAAACTCTGCAAATATGAAAAAAATACAACTGCAAGTAAAATAACTATGCTCAATTTATTCAGGTATCCCATGACTTGTCACAATTGGCCAATGCAAAAGCAAGGGGATTCCACCCCTCACAAAAAAATTCGCAAAAAAAAAACTATTTGAGCTAGACAGAAAATCTTTTTTGTTTTGTTTTCATATAGTTGAGCTCTACAAGAATATGTAATTTTTATTTTTATATGATGATTAGTGTTTTTTTACCAAAATCCCTAATAATATTTAAAATGCCATTAATCTCTTCCAGCCCCCAAAATACCACCCCAGTTGTTTTTTATGCGTTTTTAGTTTAAAAAAAAAATTGTTTCATAATAATAAATAAGAAATAAACTAGTTCTACAAAGTGTATTTACCCTGAAAATTAGCAAAATTAGCTTACATAAGATGCTGTTGGATGTGTCGACCCAGTGTAGGGTGGAGGAGATAAGCGAAGGAGTTTACTATGTTACTATATAATGTTTAGTTAGGCCTACATTTGCTTAATTTATTCATCACTGCTTTTCTCTTCGAACTTCTCTGCTTTTCTCACTACTCTTTCTTCACTTTTCCACATGGGCCATTAAAATAAACCCGTCTGAGGAGGTTAGTTTTTTTCTCCCTTTCAGAATTTTTTCAGATATGAGTTAGGTAAATGTCATTAAACAGCTCTAATGCACAATCAGTTTGAACTTTTTCAGGATGTTTCATTTCTATGAACTGTTAAACCTGTTAATCAAGTTACTCATACATCAAATTTTGCTTGTATGTCAAAGCAAAATGGGATGATTTTAGATACCGATGTCTTATAAATGACTTCCATAAAATAGGTGTCTTGGGTTGATAGTAGTATTGTAATCTCGACTAATTTTATGGTTAGAAATTAGGGTTAGGCGTATGGTAGGAATAGGGTTGGGGTTAGGGTTAGGGACAGGGTTAGCATTGACATTAGGCAGCAATGTGTGTATTTAGTTAACTACCAGTAACCTAACACCCCTTTTTTAAAGAAGATTCTATTATCGGACACTGGTATAAAAATTTCCCCGCAAAATGTAGTTCACCCGACAGCTTGTATATAATAAAGTAGTATTCTTGGCCCTGTCGCTCTAATAAAGCTATGCACTATGTCTTATGATCTTATCTCTTAAGTAAAGAGATTAAAAATTTAATGAGCTAGGCTTAAGTAAGTGAGACAGGGCTAGATCTACCTAAAATTAAAATAGGCTACTTACTTAGTACTTACCCAAATAAGATTAAGTCAGATATCATTTTAAAGTGAAGCTGGTTTTCTCTTAACTGTCTAATTCAAACTTTGCAGTCTTCACAACCTTTTTAGTGGTGCAGAAGTGAGAATGCCGATCCAATGTATGTTGAATGTTGACAAGTTGTCTCAAGTTGAGAGTGAGAGTGTCTGAGGTCTCAAACTCTCAATGATGATCAAAAAAGATGGGGTGGAAATGTCGAATGAAAGGGGGCACCTTTTTAATATTGTTTTTACAGTTTACTGTTACTCTTGGGATCTAAAAACTATTGTATTGAGTTTTTAAGGGCTAAAACAGTGTAGTATAGCTAATCAGTTATTTAATAACAATAAATTAGATTTGTATGCCAACGTAGCAACTAGAACTACACAGGAGGATAAAATCTTTTGTTGTTTACTTGTTACTTCAGAGATGTGATCGGTTAATACGTACTTTCAAATGAAAACACGAATTTGTATGTATGGATGAAATAAGTTATTTTAATTTTATTTTTTAAAAATCGTTTAAATAAATAATATAAGCTTTGGGGAATATGTATAATACATATATAAATCAAGCCTACTATTTATGTGTATACAACATTTGAAAGGAGTAAGTCTAATTAATATTTTAAAACTTGTTCTGGTGATTTAGATTTAGATCTATTTCTTATGTCTAATGTAGGAGTGGGAAATCCCGTTGATTGTAAATGTAAAGAAGAGTGGTCTCCCCTTTTTGTTCAGTAAACATAATCCAGCTACTGAGCTAGGCTTGAGAAAGATTGTTAGCTGCAGCTGATAGGGAAGTCACTTGATCTATTGTCAACAGTTAGTTTCCTCAACGACCCTGCAGATTAGTGTTTACCTATTTAACTTAGTATCCTGAGCATCATCACTCATTCACGCAGTATAAAAGATTTATTTAACCTCCAGTATGTTACGGCTACGAATAGCAGCAGCAGCTTCACTAGCACTGAAAAGAGAATTCTTGGTAAAATTTACAGTAAATTTAAATTAATTTGTTAAATTTAGGCCTAATAATTAATTTCAGTAGGCCTATTTATTATTTATTTTTATTATTTTACCTAGATCTAGTAGATCTAAATATAAAATATTGTATGTAGCCTGGCTATAGGCCTACATTACTAAATATAATATTAATTAGGCTTGTTATCTAACTAAAGAGGGCTCTAAATAATGAGTATGAAAAAAAATTACTTTGTTAACTTTCTTTTAAATTTTAACCTTATTTTGATTAATTTTTTTCTAAACTTAAGTAGTGAGTAGGTTTTTTTCTGAAAGACTTATCAGCCTAACTATAACTAACACTAATGCTGCTTGAAATTGGCCAGTTTATTTAATGGGCGTAGTTTTAAAAAATGTTTAAAGTGAAAGTTAATTGACAAAATGTTTTATTTCCTGGCAGGGGCGGATGATGTGTCATAACAATTGTTTCTAGCCATTATCTTAACACCTAAAAGCTGTATATATCTAGTAGAAAATTAAATTAACACAATACTTTATGATCCTATTGGCTAACATAAAAGTACAGTTTTTGACTAACGGCAACAAATATAGCTGTTTTTGACGCTAAAGTCAAAATGGCCAAGCACTAGCATAAAATGAGATGTGACTGTAGCTTGCGTTGATGGTTGTGATTGTTGAGAGTACTACAGACCATGGAAACTCCACTCAACTTGCTGTTACGGGGGTGGATATTTTTTTAGTCATAACAGGAGTCTCCTTCCTGCCAATTATTTACACCACCCTGCCCAAATGGTGAAAGTCCTATTGACCTTTTCTTCGGGGGGGGGGGGGAGTGGTTAAAATATTTATTTTTACAACTAAATGGAATCTTGTGCCAGAAATGCTTGTTCTGAAAAACATAGATACTGGGAGAGTTGGTTTTTCCATGTCTATAAGATAAACATTGAAAATAACAATTAGTTTTTATGTATTGCTTGTGTAGTGAAAACATGTCTTGCATTTCCCTATTATTATAATGCATCACTTTCATGCAATTTTTTTTTCCTTTTTTTCCCCATTAATAATTTTGTCCTGTTTTAATTAAATGGAAACGGATAAAATGTATTTGCGTAATAGATTATGCAGCCTCATATTGAATAATTTAGTGTAACAGCAGGTATGGAAACCAACAATTTGTTGCAGTCTTTTTCAAAATGTCTGGATTACCAGAACTGTGTGCATAGTTTGTTTACTTGAAAGAGGCCACATGTTTCAGTTAGGCTTACTTGGTCTGAAGTTTACTCGCTGAGCTGCCAAATAGAGTTGCTGCTATTTTTTTCTTTGGGCAGAAATTGTGTTTGCCAGAAGATTATTTAGGATTGTAGGGAGGCTATTTAAGTTAAGCATTTTGCGTTTCACATTGCTTGGCTACAATGTCGGATTCAGAAGTGCTCATTTAATTTTTAAATAATTTTAAAAAAAAACTAATTTGCTACAATACACATATTTCAAAAGTTTTACATTGTACTAACTGTAGTTTTATTAAATTTATGTTATAGTTTCATACCAGCTTAGGTGTGATATTATCAAAGATTTTTTTTTGTTCCAGCAAATCACAAATGCTTCTATTCAGCCATCTTGTTCTGCCTCTGGTCGACCATTCCAAATCTCAAGCCTTGATCACCTAGTTTTGACTGTAAAAGACTTGGATAAAACAGTCGACTTCTACACTCGTGTTTTGGGGATGGAAGCCACAACATTCAGGGTATTTTTATCAGTTTTTTTTAATATCAAATACATTATTTATATCAGGTGATGGACTAACCCAACATTTAATTAAATTTACTTTAAAACATTTTTATGTCGAACACATTTTTTTAATATTGTGGACATTTGCCTAGGTTTACAGCTGAAACCTACACTCCAAAGAATACTAGAATGACTAAATATATACTTTTCAGGGTGGTCGCAAAGCGCTTAATTTTGGAGAACAGAAAATTAATTTGCATGAGTTGGGAAAAGAATTTGAACCTAAGGCCACTGTCCCAACACCAGGGTCAGCTGATCTGTGCTTCCTTACTCAAAGCTCTCTAGATGACGTCATGGGACACTTAAAGGTAATTGGTTAATTAATTACTTTATGCTGGGTCATGTATGACATATAAATACTTGTTTATCAGATTTGGAAAGTATTTTTTTCAAACTTATTACAGCTAATCCACTAAGCTATGGTAAACTGTACAGGTAAAGTCATTTGTTAAAAAAATGTTTTATAAATCATTGTAGTTAGTGCCAATAAAAAAACATATAAAAATGAGTCCTGGCATCCTTAGTCCACTTAGTGTTAGAAATCACTGTAATTAGCACAGATTGATTTACCAGTGCTTGATAATGAACAAGCCCCAAAGTGTTAAAGATGTGTTAGAGTTAGGTCTCAGTAGAGGAAATAGGTTGTGGCAATGTATTGGCAATAGCAAGAAATATTTGTGAACAGTTTTCAATAAAACTAAACCTTTTGAAAATGAAATTCTATTTTTGTTCATTATCAGAGACTGCTGTGAAAAATTTCCCAATATATGAGAAAACTTTTTTTTTTAAACAAGATGGGATTATTGATTTTGAAAATGCTTTGAGTCAATACATATCTCACCTCTCTGACTTTTTTAACCTTTTTAAAAACTACTTAATAATAAAACATTTAATGAAATACTTATTGTGTCTTTTGATTATATTGCAGGTATGTGATATATGTATTGTTGAAGGTCCAGTAGAGAGAACAGGTGCAGTAGGCAGCATACGATCCATTTACGTAAGGGATCCTGACGGTAACCTCATAGAGATTTCTAATTATACAAATAGAGTTAATCGCCTTTAATTGTATAAAAAAATGTGTAACTAATTTTGAGCACTTTAATTTTGTGATTATATTAAAAAAATATTTTGTAATTGAAAGAGAATCTTTACAAATATATAACGATCTTACAATTCTTTACATCAAAATTTATTTTTCTGGGACTGGTTGTATTTTTGTATATTTTTCTTCACTGAGCATTCAAAATCAACAAAGTTTAATTAAACTTATTGATAGAGAGGCTCCGCAAATATTTATACAATTTTGTACTGTACATATTAATGATCAAAAATATTTCAAAGAAGAAAAACTACATAAGCAGACATTTTTGTTTTTCGAAATATTACTCTGTACATGTGTGAAGCTCAATCTTTAAGGGTATTTTCTATAACAGCATTGATCTGGAAGGTTTTTTTTACCAGCTTTGTTTCATACATTATCAATTTTTGAATTTGGTTAATTTATGATTAAATTTATGTTAAATAAGTGAGAGGTTTTTATGATTAAATTTATATTTATGACAGGTTTTTCTGTAACAGGTTTTAATTTTTATATGTTTTGTTTCATACATTACCAATTTTTGCATTATTTATATTTATTAAACTTGTCAAAACTTGCATTTTTTAAATTGTTAATTGTAATTTTATATATTAAAGTAGATACATTTGTTTATATTTTTTACCTATCATATTTAGGGCGATAAGCAGATATTGAATTAACTTAAGATATTTTTTTAGACATGAATTGTTGATTTTAGAGGAAGGGAAGTAACTCAAACAATAATTTTTTTTATTAAACTTATTTACCAATAATAATCATTAAAAAAGTTTTAAAAAACCCACGTTTTCTGATTGAACTAAAAAGTAGAAAATAAATGCTATAGGCCCTACATCACAATAATGCAAGCGATCACTCTACTATAAGCGATCAAAAACGTGGGGCGCCGAAGTAAAAGTTATATTACTATTGATTAGATAATACTATTGACTTTTATTAGGGAGCTTGTAGAGAGTCAACAGTATTAGAAACTGTAAGAAAATCACGGCGCCCCACGTTTTTGCTCGCTTATAGTAGAGTGATCGCTTGCATTATTGTGATGTAGGGCCTATAGCATTTATTTTCTACTTTTTAGTTCAATCAGAAAACGTGGGTTTTTTAAAACTTTTTTAATGATTATTATTTTCTACTTTTTAGTCTTTGTCTGTTTGTTTGCATTAAAATCTTGCTATCGATTTTATCTTTTCACTTTTTTTGGGTAAACGAAGACAACTCGTAAAAAGACAACTCGTAAAAAGACAACTCGTAAAAAGACAACTCGTAAAAAACTCGTTGTTTGAATACGTTACTGACTAGAACACATAGATTTGAACCCGTGTCGAGTGGGATAGCAATCGTGTGCCCAACCACTCGACCATATCGTCTCCCCCAAACTGGCCTACCTCCTGTAAGTTTAAACTCGGTTCAAGCTAAATTCTCTGCCCCTAAGCCTGTGGCGACATGTGATCGTTCGCTTCACTGCGCGCGAGGTACGCGTCGCTGGTTTTTTTTCTAATGGCTAGCAGAGGAGAATTATATATATAGATTATATAGCGGTCTAAAATGCTCAATAAAATGTTTCCATTGATCAATTTAGTAATAATAACAATTGAATATTCAATGGTCATCCAAAAGAAAGCTTCCCTGAAAATTTCAGCGCGCTAGCTAACTGGGAAGTGCCAGAAATTTCGATCGCAAGATTTGATTGGAAAGACAAACAGAGAAAGCAAGTTAAAGAAAACGTGGGAAAAAAAAGGTTGTTATTGTTCCTTTCTGCTGCTTTATTTTCTTTTGTGATTTGCTTGCCTTACACTTCATAGGTATAAATATTTAAAGTATAAAGTATTCTATAAAATTATATACATTTTATACTTCAGAATTCATTTTTTTAGAAGTTATGACATCCAGATAAATATAAAATTTTTGGTAGTATTATATGGTTCAAAGATACTAAATCACTATTCAGGATGAGTGTACGTCTGGGTTTTGTTCAATACAGAAAACGATCCGAGCAAATGTTCAATATTTTTTTTGTTCTTATCTTTACACATTACACAGCAGCCCTCGTCCCTAGCTGCTACTAACTGAAAGCCCCTTACAATTGTTCACTCCTGCTTTTATACTCTCACTCGACCTTGGGATAACAATACTTAAACACCCCGGGGTTAAATTAACTCACACACACCTCTCCCGTATGTTCTGGACTATTCGAGCCTATTCTAATCTAACCTACAACTGACCCGTAACAGTGCACGTCCACATACAGATGCAACCAAATGGCTTTGATCATGGAAACGTGAGTATCACATATTGCTTCAGATTGTCAGAAACACACCTTGGAATAACAGGGAGACTTGAGTTCATGTCTTGCTGGAACCAAATTGTCATGATTATCCTAGTAATAAGTAGAATATTCTAGATTAGTAGTAGATTATTCTAGTAATAAGCATTTAGTTGATTATTCTAGATTAGTCATAGATCATTCTAGTAATAAGTTAGAGGAAAACAGACCTGGTGTACATCCTGTGGAATATTCCTAGTTACTGATCTCAGATGAGCTATGTGCCTTCTGTGTTAATGTAAGAATCCAAGTGGCTGAGTAGTATAGCACATGATTTCAAAGCTCGTAGCTTAGAGTTCAAGTACTGTTTGAATATTCATAGTTACTAAGCTCAGATGAGCTATGTGTCTTCTGTGTTAATGTAAGAATCCTGGTGGTGGAGTAGTAGCGCACATGATTTCAAAGCTCATAGCTTAGAGTTCAAGTACTGTTTGAGTATTCATAGTTACTGAGCTTAGATGAGCTATGTGTCTTCTGTGTTAATGTAAGAATCCAAGTGGCTGAGTAGTAGAGCACATGATTTCAAAGCTCATAGCTTAAAGTTCAAGTACTGTTTGAGTATTCATAGTTACTAAGCTCAGATGAGCTATAAGCCTTCTGTGTTAATGTAAGAATCTTGGTGGTGGAGTAGTAGAGCACATGATTTCAAAGCCCAAAGCTTAGAGTTCAAATACTGCTGATTGGTCCTTTTTCACTGTCTTCTGTAAAACTCAGCTTTAATTGGTACCTGATCTTAATAAAAAAAGAGGAAAAATGCCGTAGCAGTTTACAGATGTTCATTGTGCAGCTGCTACATAGTTTAGTAGTTCTTTTATTTAGTTAACAATGCCTGATTGTGGCAAATCTTTTTAAAAAAAGTAACTAAAGAATCCTCTTTAGACCTAGCGATCAATTGGGCAGATGAAGTAGAGTTCATATGTTTCTTGACCTCAGCATTGAAGGAAAGGTGTGGTCATCACTATGCTCAGTTGCCTTTACTTTACCTGACATGAATTATGTACCCATCAGAGCTGAGAGGACTCAGGGATGTTCTACTGCAGGGGTCTCCAAACTTTTCAGTCCGAGGGCCGTATTAACTATCAAATTTCACTTTGGGGGCCAGTTTCTTCCAGGCATGTCTTTGATTTTTCTGGTCAAAGTTCCTCAGTCATCACCAACAAACGATTTTTCCTTGGACAAAAAGATCTCCGCGGGCCGGATGAGAGGACTTCACGGGCCGCATCTGGCCCGCGGGCCGTAGTTTGGAGACCCCTGTTCTACTGACTTGGACCCAGATTCAAACTCAAGACTTTCAGGTTAGCAGCCTAGAACTCTACTGCTTAGTCCACACTGTCCCATCCTACTTCTAAAGCAATGACTACTCTGAGTTTTACTTATACATTTGTTTCCCAATACAACACATTAATACTTTTAACGTAATTAAATTAATTTTCAACACAAGGGTAGATAACAAGATTAATTAGTAGTGAATACTTGCTCTGTTTTTTTATACCTGAGACAACAGACTCTACTAAGGGGCAGATAATTGTTGTTTAGAGTTACTAATCTGGTTTAAAAGCAACTGTTTTAGCCATAGGGTATAAATATAAGCTTGATTAAAATTAACTGAAATTATAAATTTGGCACTAATTGGTTTTAAAACTTTTAAATGCAACACAAATAAAAAAAAAAAAAAAACTCTCTTTAGTAAAAGTTTTGGTTAATTATAATTTTTTAAAACACATTTTAGCTAACAATTCTTTTACTTAAAGAGGGTAATTGTGTTATATTTTCCCTGCATTTGCTAAATATTATTTATTCAAGACTAACAAAAGCTGGTGAAACCTGGATAAAATATGTATGCATTTAAACAATAGGAGAGTAGCTTGTTGGAATTGTTAAATATGACAGGATGGATGAGTTATTTTTGTGCTAGCACTGTGATGCTTGCACTTGTTTTAATTCTAACCCTAACACCAGTTAAAACAAAATCTCAATGTGACTTGTCAACTGGTCATGCCCAATCTACTCAGATTTTAGCCTGCTTTTCTTTTTGGATTAGCGTCCATAGCCTTTGTCCAACCAAGTACAAACTACAAGGAGTTGTCTCTTTTAGAAGAGTGGCTGTCCCCAGCTAATGAGCCTCATCTGAGGATTCTAACTCAGGACTTTTCAGTTTAACAACCATGAGCTTTCCGACTCGACCACACCGACCCCTCAGTTCATTCAAAAAAATGTCCTTTTCTTTTGCCATAAGGTTTCAATGTGTCTGTTTATTATGCTTAGCATCTACTGATTAGCAGCATGTTGTTTGACAGATTATGCACATATCTTTATACAAGATTTTCTTGTGGGCAAATAGCATTACGAAATCAAGACAATTGTATTAATTCTACTGTATAGATTATTTATTATTGGAACTGTGTAATACTTGTGTCAGAGGATACATTTTTAAAAATATTCAATAACATCAAATTTAAGACTTGACATATATGTTTGAGATTTTTATTTATTAGTATCACAAGTTTGTAAAAAAAAAATAATTATTGGTCATTTTAAAAAAAAGCTGCAACAACACTAAAACATTTATACAACAAATGTAAGACTTTCAAGACATTCATACAAAAACTGAATTAAGCAATTGAAATAGACACAAAATATAAACAAAAAATAAAAGAAAATAATATTGTGCATTTAGTACTAGTATAATTACAATGAATAAATAAATGCATTAACTTGTAATGTGTCTGATATCAGAGTATAGACTGGAATTACATTTAACTTTAAATTTCTTGTCTAAAAAAAAGATTAATGTATTTGGTCACAAACAATTCATGAATAAATTACTAGAATTAGGTTAACAAAAAAATAAGTCTATTGAACAAACAAATGTTAATGGGTTTTTAATTTGAGTGGCAAGATTAGATTAAGATTATATAATTAAAATTGGGATATATAGCATTAATGGGATATATTTCATAAAATCAAAAGAAACTTAAGTCAAATAAAATAAAGAATATTTTTTTTTTACCATTAAACAATGATTTCAAAAATAGTATGATGATTGAAAATATTGTTATCATATTTATTAACTTATCTTTGATATCTAACTTGAAACTTATGTTATTTATATTTATCTACCTACCTATAAATATACATTATTATGACCATTACATAGAAAATATTTATGCACATATTCTGTTCTTTAAAAAACATGATAATATATTTTACATAAAATATTATGTCTATTCATTCACTGAAGAATATGTTTTTTATTCTCTCAGCTTCATTTAATTAAGGCAAAAAAATAATTTTAAAATGTACATGGTAATTTTTTTTCCTGAGACAAGGGTGTGTGAAACGTAAACAGAATCCATTCATGTGATACAAATACAATAGTTATAAAAATAGAATCCATTCAGGCGATGTTCATGTGTTACAAATAGAATCCATTCAGGCTATATTCATCTAACACTGCTTCTGCATGAAACTCAAACAACAATTTAATACAAATGTACTACTCATCATTAAACCCGACAGTTAAAAAATGTTAAATACAGCATTAAATACAAACATTCCACATTCAACGTGACTTACTGCATTATATCAAACAGCCACCATGCTCTTATCTGACATTTTGTTTAAAAATACAAAACAAAATTCATGCACTCTAAAATGACAATTTTCTGGAGCAGTTACTGCTTTTAAAAAGTTAAAGCATTTGAATTTTAAAGCCAATTTCTTTGTTACTATGTAGCAGCTTACACAAAAAACGAGCATACAACATTACAAGGGAGATCATTCTAGTGGTGGACAACAAATCCAGGCAATCATTGACAATCCACAATATGGAACCATTTTCTTTTATTGCAAGAGCAAATCTTGATGTCTTATCAAATTTTCAAACCTTAAAGATCATTGTGTCAAGATTTTCAGTGCATAACTGGTAGAACCAGAGGCGTAGCGAGGGGGGGGGGCGGGGGCGGGGGGACATATGTCCCCGGGCGCCGACCTTAGGTGGGGCGCCAAATTGAAAGTTTGAGGGGGGGGGGTGCAAATGAAAAGTTCGAGGGGGGGTGCAAATGGAAAGTTTGAGGGGGGGTGCAAATCGAAAATTTGCTCCCGAGGGGGGCGCCAAATTGAAAGTATGTCCCCGGGCGCCGTGAAGGGTCGCTACGCCTCTGGGTAGAACTGGTTATTATAACCTTATTTTCAGTTTTTTTAACCAATATCCTATTATGCATATAGGGCCTATTTTATTGCAAGTCTAAATAATTTATAGAATTATTTATAGTGTAAGTTTAAGGTTTTTTTTAATAATAATATCAGAACAAAAAATCAGATGCTACAAAAATCTGAAATAATAAATTCTAGATTACTTTACAATACATAGGCCTTATATATAATATACAAGCCTATATTTAACTTGTTTACTTTAAAATGTTGTCACCCAATATTAATGTAAACTTTAATGTAAAGTGTGATGTTGGCAGTTCTAAGCCAGTTTTTCCTCCATGTTTAGTTTGGATGGTTTGGCTGCTATCTCAGCCTTGGCAGCCTCGAAATGCCCATCCACAACCTCTTGAGGTGTGCAGCCAATACGGAAATAGGTGATCACTCCTGAAACATTATAGGCAATTAATTAAGTTTATTATGTTTTTATTTCTTACCTCTATTTAAAAAGAAAGATGAAAAAAAAATATCTTTAAAAATAAATTTTGAAACTTTAAGTTTACAATCAGTTCCACAACAGAACTTGATGTTGATGATACCTTACTATCGTTAATTACAATGTTTCTTACCTTCATCAATCTTCAGGCAGTTTACTACAGTTGATGCCACCAGTTCATTGGAGGTTCCATCACAAACCACTGCATCCAATTTATCCCCTAATAAAAATAATTATAAAACAAACATAAAATAGCTGGATATAATTTTTGTACATAGTAAATTACCATTACACTGTGAGTGTACATGTTCATCTATAACATATTTTTTTCTTTTCTCTAAGTCAAGTTGTACACCTCAACTTTAATTAAAATTTAAAAATTTGAGTTGAAGTTAAAGTAATAAATTATTTCATAAAATTTCAAATTAACTAATATATCTTACCCAGAGAGTTATTGACAATTACACCAAATTAACTAAGTAATCTTAGCCAAAGAGTTAATGACTATTATACCAAATTAACCTTACCCATAGAGTTGATGATCATTATAGCAAATTAACTAATTAATCTTACCCAGAAAGTTAAAGACCCTTATACCAATCTAACTAATTAATCTTACCCAGAGAGTTAATGACCATGTCATGATGAGTGCTGTCATCTCCTCCACTAGGATTAGCAGACGACAGTGCCACTGGACCTGACAAACTGACGAGGTACGCCAACACAGAACTGTCCGGCACACGGATACAAATGCTTTTCTCTGTCCCCACATAGTTGACTGAATCTCCCAGACCCAAGTTCTGTGGAGTGTAAGACGGAGGTTAGCAACATCCCCAATAATTGCTGCAGCTACAAGGCTACAAACCATTCCAAATATGCTACATGTATTGCTACCAAATATTGGTGACAATTTCAAATATGCTACAGCTGAAAGGTGATTAACTGTGCCAAATATTTCCATGGCTCAAAGATGAAAACATCACAATTATTGCAGTAGGTAAATGTTGACAAAACATCCCAAATATTGCTACAGCTATAAGGTGACAAACTGTCCCAAATATTGCTGCAGCTAAAAGATAAAAACATTAAAAAATGTTTCTGAAGCTACACTGTGGCAAACACATCCCAAATATTGCTACAGCTATAAGGTGATTAACTGTCCCAAATATTGCTATAGCTCAAAGATGAAAACATCACATTTATTGCTGTAGGTAAATGGCAACAAAACATCCCAAATATTGCTACAGCTATAAGTTATACTATAAGATGACAAGTGATCCTTAATGTCTGCCATTATTGAGTGAATACATGATACTTGTAGCTTTATGTTAAAAAAATAGTGACAGATCTCAGTGGCAAAATATCACAAAAACAAAATATCTTAAGAGTGTATGAGATCTTTTTTCTCACCTATTATCATGTAACTGTGAAAAACACACTACACTTTAAGTTAGGTAATCATCATTGGTGTAGATGCAATATATAGGTATATCAAATAATACAGTGTGGTAAAATCTTATTCTTTTGACTTACCCTTAACCATTCACCCTTGGGAACAACACAGCTGATGCCCCCTGGGTAACAGCGTCTCATGAAGTTCCACAGCAAGTCACTGAATGGTGGGTTGACAGCTGCCAGTTGGTCAAGGTTGGAGAGGCATAGACAGATTGGCTTTTCTGCTGGTCTACCCTGAAATCCAGAGAGAAATTATTTTAAAGAGAAATCACAGCAGCAATTTTCAGTTAGTATAGTTCAATAATACTTCCAAATTATACTTCATAATATTCACATAGCATAAATCTTTACGATGGAAATATAAAGTTTATCTTTTTAAACACCCAGAAATATTAAGAAGTGATTTAAAAAATGGACCTCAGTTATACAGATTTAAATTATGTGAAAAACATAATTTTAAAAAAATTTCTTTCTACAGCAACTTATCTTTTAAGTTATGTTAATAGTAACTTAAACTGAACATGTACATTTAAAATGTAGCTTACTTAATGTACAGTAATGTACATCTTGATTTCTAACTTACCTTGAATTTGTAAATTACTTTGACAGTGTACAATTTATATTATAACTGACTTTGACCATGTGAATTACTTTGATGATGTACATTTTAAATCACAACTTACTTTTACTATGTAAATGACATTGGTGATGTAGGCCTTCAATATAAATAACAACTAAAATACTTACTTTAAAAATGTACATATTAAATTATAACTTGTTTGACCATGTAAATTACTTGGACAATTTACATTTTACTATTACTTACTTCTACTATGCAAATGACATTGGTGATGTAACAACTAAAATACTTACTTTAAAAATGTTCATATTAAATGACAACTTACTTTGACCCCGTAAATTACTTTGACAATGTACATTTTACCATTACTTACTTCTACTATGCAAATGACATTGGTGATGTAACAACTAAAATACTTACTTTGAAAATGAACATATTAAATTACAACTTACTTTGAAAATGTATGTACATATTAAATTATAACTTACTTTGAAAATGTAAATATTACATCACAACTTACTTTGACCATGTAAATTTTCTTGATGGACTCTGGATGTTTGCAGGATCCAGCCACTGCGTAGACCGTGTCCGTGGGGACACCCACCACGCAGCCCTCGTCCAGCATCTTGGCCACTTTGCGCAGCGCTGAGCTGCGACGGGAGGTGAACAAAAGACATGGGGGCTCAGCCTTGTCTGCTGCAGATACCTTCTCCTGGGGACAATTAACATGGTTGATGCTTAAAATGTTCAAGTCATAGCTGTTACTGAACTGTAATATTGTTAACTATAGTATTTATTTTAGTTAATGTTAATACTAATAGTATACTAAGTATAGATAGACTTTAACACCTAAAATGTCCTAAAAAGGTCAAATTTAATGAGTGCAAAGTTATGGCCTATAAAGTATAACTAATGGGTCTTAAAAAATGGATATTTTACTTATTAAAATTTAGGGGGAAAAAGTAGAATATTCTTACTTTAAATAGTTCTTTTGGTAAAAACTATTTACAAATTAGTAGATCTATTATTTCTTTTCAATTTTGGAATTTTATGAAGACAATATTTTTTCAAAGCTTTGAGTCTTGACTTGATCTCTAGATTCTAGATCTAGCTAGATCTAGAAGCTGCTAGATTGATCTAGATGTCTAGATCTAGATTCTAGATCTATCCCCAAAAATGACTTCATTAGTCTACCTCTAAGATTAGTATACCACCCCAACCCCCCCCCCCCCCCCCACCCCTCCCAAATACTGCGTATACACACGCCATTACAACACCTCTATCACATAAACTAGAAATAATGTTACTGATTTCTAGACCTACTTAGATCTAGATCTAATTCTAATCTAGATCTAGATCTAAATCTAGATATTTGAAACAACATCTTGTTTTAAAACATCAAAATGGAATAGCCAGTATTTGTTGAGTTTTGAAATGTAAGCCTACATTTGGCATTTTAGTTTTAGTATTGTAAATTACCTTTATAAGAGGTTCGCCAACAGGAATAACTTGGTACTGAAGGAACGTGTTTATAAATTCTGCAGAAGCTGCATACAAACTCATTACAGCTGTAATTAAAAATCATAATTTTATTATGATTAACAGCTAATATTAATCTCAATATACAGTTGTTGATTTAAAAAAAAAAATCAAAATTGAACTTTCGTGTTAATAAAATCTGGCCAATGAGTTGACAAACCTGCCAGCAAAGCTGTGACGAGAATCATCCATCGAGGGTTGGTGTTGAACACAGTGACGACCTGGGTTATGACGACCAGTTCCATCAACAGAGTGTAAGGGATCCACACACGGGTGAAACTTGGACTCATTACCATGACAACGGTAAATAAACACAGCATTCCGACGGATAATGGACGGAGAGCGAACCCCAAGTTGGCTGTTAAAAATAAACAATATTTGTAGTATTAGTAGACCAACTAGTAAATTTATTTTGGCACTGAGATTTTTTAAACGTTTAAATTCTTTTAGGCTAATAAGGCTGCTTTAAAATAATGTTAAAAAAAAACAACAACTTACGATTGAAAAAGAAAGCAGCCCATATTAGCCAGATAATGGCCAACACAACGCCGGTATAAGCTTTGGCCAGTGAGCCGGCAGCGTAGGCAAGTCTAGCCGCGTACAGGTGCAAGAAAATACCGGCAACCATTATCCAAGGGACAGAATACACCTGCCAACGTAAATTTAAATTTTCAATACAAATTTTAAATTCCAATTTATATGGCTAATATAGTAATAACAGTGAAAGTTTAAATTGCCAAAAATTAGGGCTTATGTAAAGAAAAAAAAACATAGTTTATTTTAATATGTAATGTAGGCTAGTTCAAAGTTCACCGTGTTGAAAAGCAAATGTCACATGATCACGATTGTCTTACCGGGTTGCTTGCCTCTGATGCAGACAGAGCCATCAAACTGACGGTGCTACCGGTGAATAAGATAGTGTCGACTATTTTAAGATCAATGACGTCATCATCCTCATACTCATTCGTAGCGCTGTCTTTTTCTCTGGAAAAGGAAAATTAATTGTTAAATATATATATATATATATATATATATATATATATATATATATATATATATATATATATATATATATATATATATGTTGCGGTCAAAGCCCGAAGTGCGGCCAAAGCGCGGATTGGCCGGCCAATCCGCGCATTGGCCGGCTCTCTTGGCCAAAGCCCGAAGAACTTAGCACTAAGATCGTATTTCGTACATTGGCCGGCCAATGCGCGCACTGGCCGGGACGTACTGGCCAAAGTCCGAAGCGCTTAAACTTGACAGCGTATTTTGTACATTGGCCGGCCAATGCGCGCACTGGCCGGGATGTCCTGGCCAATGTTCTATCTAGACTAAGTTGTGATCGCATTTTCATTATTCTGGGTGCGTTTTCATTGAGAGCAGTGTTACTTCCAGACTTTTTTCTCCGGGGGGCACTTGAAATTTTCGGGGGGGGGGGGGGGGGGCGGTAGGTGACAATGTACGCATCCGTTTTCCAGATGTCGACAGAGGTCACGGTGATCCCCGAAGCGTGATTGCAATTGTCATGAGCGTCGAGGGCGGTTTCTACAAATTAGGAACGGAACATGGTGTTCTAAAACAACTGTATGCTAGAAGTGAGTTTTCAATTCTTCACGAAAAACTACTCTTATTGTCGTCAGTTGGCACTGAGGAAAAATCACTACGAACCATCGCATCATAACAATCATTGACTGGGGGCCAAGGCTACACTCGCTGCAATTGCACAACTAAGTGCACAACAAATCGCTGCAAGTGTAAAAATAACAAGCTGCTATGTAATTCTAAATGCCATAAAAGTTCAACTTGTTGTAACAAATGATGATATTGATAGATTGAGACTATAGTACAATAAAAAATTTGAATGTTTCTGTCATTTACTTTAATTAATAATCAATAAAGACTTAATTTCATGATCCTTACGGCATAAAAAAAACAAAATCTGCTCATGATCTTCTAATTCGAACTTTCGCCAGTCGTGCCTAGCCAGATGATCTTCTAATTAAGACTTTGGCCGGTCCACCATGGCCAGTCTGCGGATTGGCCGGCCAAAGGCCGAAATCAAGCAAAGTTTCGGACTTTGACCGACCTATGGGAGGCGATATTGGCCAATGCGCAGATTGGCTGGCCAATCCTAGCAATGGCCGACTTCGGGCTTTGACCGTAACATATATATATATATATATTTATATATATATATATATATATATATATATATATATATATATATATATATATATATATATATATATATATATATATATATATATATATATATATAAAGAAGCAAAACTTTATTTAGTTATTAGCTTCGAAGATGGAAACTTGTGTCCAATGATTCATAAAAGTAATAGTAAAATTGTACTAAACTTTGAAACACCATTATTTATACTTTTATTTTAATGTTTTTTCAAAGCCCCATTATGTCTTTATGTTAGAAGTAATTGGTATTCTAAAGCTATTGCGTGACTTACTTGAGTGTGCAGAAAATGCTCCCAATAGCGGCCTTCAACTTGTCCGAGTTGATGACCTCTGCCCCGATGTACATGACCGCCTTCTCGGCGATGGAGTTCTCTAGTGCGGACATCCCCACGTACAGGCTAAGAATAGCCACAATGGCGGCCGGGATGCCGAAGGTGAAGTTGTGGGCGGCGACAGGGATGTGGTCCATCGACAAAATGCTCATCACTAAAAATGCCAGGTTGTAGATGAAGACGACCCTGGAACAAAATGTCAGCAAAAATAAAATTAAAAAGGTTAAAATAAAGTTCATGGTACCGGTTATAAAAATCGTATTTTTAGTGTTGATTCATTATGAATTTTCAAGCTTCAATAATTAGATAAATTTATATATATATATATATATATATATATATATATATATATATATATATATATATATATATATATATATATATATATATATATATATATATATATGCCTATATTTATATGTATATGTATATATATATATGTTTATTTATTTATTTATGTATATATATATATATATATATATATATATATATATATATATATATATATATATATATGTATATATATACATATACATACATATATATATATATATATATATATATATATATATATATATTAGGGAGTAAAATCTGACCTGTTGTGACTGGCGGAGACGAGTGTCATGACAATGATGAGGGCTATCAGCGTCCACTGGCCGTAGAAGTTGACCCGGGCGTCGAAAATGTCTGGAATGTTCATGGATATCAGGAACTGGAGAATGGCCCGGGTGTTCCAGAAGGTGGCGTAGATCACGAAGGTGAGGGCGTGGAAGAAATCATGTCGGAGGAAGGAGTAGAAGCTGGCTAAAATCTGGCACAGTGCGGTGAAAACAAACATGGCGATGGCCGGCCGGAAGTCGGTGAAGAATCCAAGATGGTGGAAGGCTAAAACGGCCGCGGGGACGACGTTTCCCAGAAATCCCATCCCCATGGGTTCCGAGTATTTGGTGACTTTTTTTTTCTCGTTTTTCGGAGCCGGTCCCCCGGCGCTTCTCATGAGGAGAGGGTCGTACGGGGCGTTGCCGAACCCGGGGAGAATATACCTCTGGCTGACGCCCTTTAACATCATCACAACGACCGCGTACACCCCGGTGATGACGATAAACAATTCAAAAGCCGCGGCGACTCTACGCCCCCAGTCGAAAAAAGCCCCCACGCCCTCGAAGATTAAAGTCAACAAAATGGCGACCAAAACCGGAGGCAACAGGAAGTTGACGGTGACTGCGCAGACGCAGAGGATGACAGCGACGGCCATGAAGCCGATCAACCCCGGAAGTGTCCCGAGACGGATGGCTTCAGCGTCGCCGGTCTGGGCAGCCAGAATGCGAGAGATGCCCATGGAGGTCCAGAGGGATCCGAAGACAATGAAGGCGGTGGCGGTGAGGTGGTCCCAGCGTCTGTAGGACAGGAGCCCGGCCACGATCTGAAGGATGCCGCCCACAACTATCAGGTGGACACCTGTTGGGGAGGGAGGGGAAAAGGTAAGGTTAGTTTGGTGTATGAGGCAGGTTTAGATCATGCGAAGACGGTAGGTTTGGCTGGTGTCTTAATTAGGTTTCAGACATCGGGAAAAGGTAGGTTATGGTTTTTTTCTGAGGCCGGATCTGGAAATGACTTTGTTGATTGCCATTTTTAAAAACAATTTCACAATTTTACAATATCTTTAAGATTTCTAATTAGTAGTTGATTACATATTAAATGAAGACCCCGCATTTTCTCTACCAATTCTTTGTTCTAAACTACATTTCCACCCCTTACACAAGTAGCTTAAATCCCCTTCCCTACACAACTACATTATTCGTCTACACTAGTTACATCCCCCGCTCAGACCTATTTTATATACAAATGACTCGCCCCCACTACTGTATTTCCTTCCCACCCACAACTACAATACCCCCACTCTACCACTTCCCATATCACACCATCTACAACACCCTACCTTACTCTTCATACTCATGCCTTATACACACCCCCTCCCTCCCCCCCCCCCCCCACCCCCACCCTGTAGACCCGGACATGTGTCTCACCCACCTGACAAGACAAGCGCCGCAGATGAGAACGGGGGGTCCAGGCAGTTCTCTGTGGCGATCATCAGCGCCGCCACGATGTTGGAGATGAGCCCTAGGGCCCCGGGCTCCGCGTACAAGATGGCGGCGAAATCCTCGGCTTCCCCCTCCATTGGAACGCTAGAAAAAAATAAAACAACACAATATTAGTGCCTGCATAGCGAATACACAGCCTTGGTCAGCTGTAGGAGAAACAGAAGCAGCCGGAATGTCGTGGGCCCAGCTTGGAAGAATCGCCCAAAACTGAGTACGGTGGAGAGGTGTGGTTGCGTATATATGCTCCACAAGGGGTCCACAGGGATGATGATAATGGTGATGATGATTGTGATGATGATGGTGATGATGATGGTGATGGTGATGATGATGATGGTGATGATGATGATGATGATGGTGATGATGATGGTGATGATGATGATGATGATGATGATGATGGTGATGATGATAGTAATAATGATGGTGATGATGATGATGATGATAATGATGATGGTGATGTTGACAATGATGATGATGATTATAGCAAATAAAAAGCTTCTCACCTATAACAGAGTGTTTATTAGATTTACATAATCACGTGCTACGTACACATATTCAAACATTGTGCAAAGAAGTACACACAATACAGTTACGTCATACACACAACACATTAAACACTACCTGTACACCCTTTTTGAAAGATACAACACAAACACAATACCGTTACACACGGAGCGGTGTTCATTATTCTGCATACAACAAAGATATACGGCCTAATTATATACAACACAATATTCATTATTCGCCTAACAAAAAAAGAAACAACGTATATTAAACTCGTTCATTAATTATGAAAACCCAGAACGTGATCGCGACACAGTACACAGTGCGCCCTCTATTTACCACGAGCGAGTCTCCCCGGGGGTTCGCCGCGGGCTACAAAGCTACGACTGAACTTTCGTACACACTAAATAACGAAACATTGACATGTGTGAAGTATCAATAGGTACATTTACTTTCACGTAGCGCATGCGTGAAGATCAAAACGTAGATTAATAACCTTTAGTAGCTAATAAATAATGATGCGAAATTTCAGGACATGATAAAGTATCACTTTCTTTCAAGTTGTAGATTATTACTATAAATTAATCAACATTAAAACTGTATTTCCGGAGTATTCATTATTAGCAATATATTTGTTTATTTAAAAAAATACCCTTTCGAATATGACTGTGTATGGGTAAGGTGAAGTAGAGTTCACCTGTTTCGGTAATCTCGGCATAAAACGGATAGAACGACCATCCCAGCCGCCTATTACTTTCCCTACCTTGAGTCAGGTACCCATCAGAGCTGGGTGAGCTCCGGTAAGTTCACAAACCTGTGATTCAAACTGGAGACTTTCCTGGTAGCATTCATCTGTTCTACCACCAAACCGATCACATAATTAGTAAACAGTACGTAATTTACGCTAAAAACTAAAAGATCGTTTGTCATATCGATATATGGATTAAGAACATTAAAAGCAGAACAGATGATATAGCCTATATTTCCAAACAACCTCAAATAAACGAAAGATGTTTATGTTTTGAAAGACCTACCATATTTCTTCCAACTATATGGGGGGGGGGGGGGGGAGACTACCCCAGTCACCCCCTAGGTCCCCTATGTTATACACAATTACTGTCTAGGCCTACTCAGCTGATACGAAATTCAGTTAAAATTAAAGTAACTTGCTATAAGAAACTTAAAGACTAGCACACATTAATTAAGTGCCCTAATTAAATTGGAGTCACTGAAGGAAATCACCACCTAATTGTGTTACTAACTTAAATTTTTTTAATCAGCTATTTCTAGTTAAGTGTTAATCATTATCTCGTTATGTTACTAACTTACTAACTTACATTTTTTAATCAGCTATGTCTGTTTTAGTCCACGGAACATCAACTTGCACACTGACACTAAAACTGATTCGGATACAAATATTTATAGCCTTGAGTTGTTCAGTTGGGTACTGTAGGTGAGCAGTGGTACAGTGTGGATGTACTCACGTGCCCAGCATCAGCAGTGTTGGTTGACCCCCCCCCCCCCCCCACCCCCCACCCCCCAAGTCAAATTTACCTACCACACGATTAAACAAGGTCTGTTTGATTTCACGTCTGCTAAACTAATTAACATAAAGACATGACAACCACCCTTTTCATCCAGTTAAAACAGATTCGCTTCTATCTACACCTGTTTGATTGTCAGGTTTTTTTTTTATTGAACAGGTTCTATAACCCATGTACCTAGTTACTTCCCATGAATTAAATTCTAAACAAAAAGGGACTGAATAAAAAGGGATTAGCTTACCTACGAGAGCGATCTTGTGTCGTTCACTGCTGACTTAAAGCCTTGAAACAAGTCGGTTGTTTTTTTTTTTACCCCCACTTATGTTTAACTAGTGTTGACGTTCCGTGTTGTCAATAAATGTCGACTTCCAGACTCAGCCGGTGCAGTTGCAGTAGAGTTTACGTTATATTGATTTATAATATTTTTGTTTAACTATTTTCTTTTCCTCTAAAAAAAATCGCGTCGAAGTGTGAAATCGCATGCACGCTTTATGTATAACTATCAAATGTTTTTTTTTTAAATTTAAATCTTCAAATATTGAACACAAACATGAAGTAAGTTAGGGTGGACGTGATACGGTGTTGGCTGTGGTTATAAAGGGTGCTTGAACCCCCGCTCTCGGCTTATTCGCGTCACAAGCAATAAAAATAGCAGCCAGTGGTAGTAGCATCCGGCAACAGATCTAAACCAATGAGAAGTCTGGATTTCTTCTATTTTTAACTTACCGGCCGTATGATCTCCGCTGAAGCATGGCAGATTTAATCAGTTAGGAGAATCCCTCTTGTATTTGGTAGGGGGACAAATATGACACATGTAATCCGTAAATTATGAAAAAAACACAAATTAATCAAAGTTTCTCCTTTTTTTTCTAAGTTTAGTCATCGAGAACCAAACACAAATGAACTAAAGTCGTTATTTTTCTTCCAATGAGTTATGGTCAAGGTAGTTCATACATCGCGCTGCTTAGAGAAAAGTGACCGATTGAGAAAAAAAAACACGAATATTAAATAAATACGAGTAATTAAATTTCTTGAGCACGCGAGGGCATATTGTGAGCAGTATAGATGCCAGGCCAATCACCATTGTCCTGCTGCTCACACGCACACAGTCCGGCACACAAAAACAATTGTTGGACGCGCATTCCATCCAGCCGTCTGCTTCTCAAAATAAAATTTGAAGAAAATTTTCAATGAACGTCTGCTTGGGTACAACACTCGTTTTTCTGAAAACCACAGTCACCAATTCATGACTTCTGCTTTGAACCCAACACAAAACTAGCTATTTTCTCCTTTGACTGTTGATTCAGCATACGTTGATTTTTTGTTGTTGTATTCGTCAACATTGAAAAAAAAAAGAAAAGAAAAATGAAGAAACGAAAAAGCTAAAACAAAGTGCAAAAGCACAATTAGTCAAAACTCGATTTCCGCGAGGCAGACGACAGAACAATGACCCAGCAACAGCCCGTTGTTGTGCGGGTTAATTATTTTCAAATTGGGAGAAACGGTGTCAAAAGAGACAATTTTTTTTTTACCTGTCCGTCAATGGTGTGTCAGCATAGAGCAGGTAGAAGGTGTGGACAGTGTGGGCAGTTTTTTTTTTTTTTTTTTTTTTTTTTTTTTTTTTTTTTTGTATGCGTGTGTGAGGACTTCATTGTTTTCTTTTATTTGTTAGAAGCATGCCATGGTATGTCGGTAGGCGAAGGGTGGGCTATTTGTGAACAAAGAAAGGCATTTTGATATAGTATATTTGTCCATATATAGATACACACCGCGCCCCACACACACACACACACACACATATATATATATATATATATATATATATATATATATATATATATATATATATATATATATATACATGCGTCTTTACAAGTGCATTTATAAACAATATATAGAAAAGTATCTATGTAAATATATATTCATTATATGAGTGTATTTCTATTTGTGTGATTGTGTAAATGCTTATGACTATATAATGTTTATTCATTACATAATATATACACGAATGTATAGATAATTATGTGGTAGACATATATATATATATATATATATATATATATATATATATATATATATATATATATATATATATATATATATATATATATATATATATATAATGTTTGTCTGACATTTATTTCTAAGAAATAAAAAAACGTAAGTCTTAATAATAACAAAATGAAGGGGATTAAGAAGGTATTTCTATGTATTGTTTTTACACCGCATGTGTTTACCATTTCGGTGTTGTGCACATTGGTTGGTTGCATGGGAATTGCCTGGTTTCAATTTTGAATTTTCGGAGAAAAAAAATATTTAACATAAAATTTCCCCAAACCTATGTAATATATATTCTTTTCTTCACATTTTACATTTCTTTTATAATCGGAATCCAACGTAAGTGACGTTTTCTGAGAAATATCGATTTTAGGGGCCTTATTGAACCACCCATCCCCCACCCTTTTGAATAGACGTTACCTCCTGTATCATTTAGTAAGATAACGTGACTATTAGTCACGTGATTTAATGTTTTTATTTAGACGGCTACACCAGATACGATAAGACTAAAAGTCAGAGGCGTAGCTAGGGGGGGGGGCGGGGGGGGGGGGGGCGGCCGCCCCGGGCGCCGACCCTATGGGGGCGCCAAAAGGGGTGGGAAAATTTTTTTAAACCTTATTTTATGCTGCAGTTTTGAATTATAAACTGTCTAAGTTAAGAAATGTAATGGCTACACGCATTTACATACTGATTTAACTGTTTTCTATCTTGATTTCTTAATGTAAAACATATACTCTTAAGAAACAGTGACCGGCAAAACCGCTTTGAAGCTTTTCCTAGATGGGGGGGGGGCGCTTTTTCGAGACTTAAAACGGAAGAATTTACACTAGATTGTTGAGTCGATAAACGTTACCACTATTAAAAGAAACCAATTGTATTAAAACGTATTGTACGATTGTTGAACTGTAAAATACGTTAGTGACTTTTATCAAGATGGTGCAGGGGGGCGCTTTTAGGCTAAATAAAATAGCAAAATTACACAGGATTCTGAGTAAACAACCTTTAGCTCTCAGAAAGAAACGAATTGTACTGTGCATTGTATAATTGTGTAACATTTTTAAAAAAAAAGTTAGTTACGTTAAAAACCGCTCTACAAACTTTGTCCAAGATGGTTGTGATGAGTGGGGGTGGGGGGGGGGGCGCTTTTTTCGCTAACAAAAATCGCAAGTATTTGTACTGGATTGGTGAGTAGATAACTCTCTTAACACTTAGTAAAGAAACCAAGTGTATTAACGCGTAATGTACAATTTCAATAGCCAGTTTTGTTAAAAAAAAAGACGCGACTAGTTCTTTGTAAGATTCTTACGATTCTCTCAACTTCAACGTGAGAGATCAGATACTTTTGACCAGTGTTTCTTCCAGACTTTTTTCTCCGGGGGGGGGGCACTTGAAATCTTCGGGGGGAGGGGGGAGGCGGTAAACTTTCTTCGGGGGGGGGGGCGGACACTGTTAAAAGTATATATTTTCTAAATATAAATTATATAAATTTCATTTCGTTCGGGGGGGGGGGGGAGGCGTAAAAATTTTTCCGGGGGGCTTCGCCCCCCCGAAAAGATGCCTGGAAGAAACTGTGTGCGAGAAGGCAGGGCAAATCTGCGAAATCCAAGACTACGAGCTGTTAACATCCGTTGGATTCCAGTTTGTTTTCTCTAGCTTGTTTTGTCATACCATCAACCAATCAACGAAATACCCATGTCGTATTCCAATGTGAACAATAAATATTTCTGATAACTTCTTCTTGTATGTCACTTGTGTGTCCTTACTCTAACAAACTTCGAATCCAACTATGTACCATATCACAACAGAGATCTTTCAAAACTAGAACATAAAAGGCTGGTCTAAACATATTAGCGTTAGCTACAAACTACCCTCTAACACAGATCAGGCTTATTTTTTTTACTGACATTACTAATCTTTCGCAAAAAAAGTTAAACGCATCTTAATGGGAATTAAATTGTCGTAAAGTTTTAAGGAATGAAAATCATACAATGTAATTATTAAACCTTGTCCGGACTGTAGCATACACGCTTACACACACGCTTACACACACAAATACACTCTTACCCACACACAAGCTTATATATAAACACACTATCACACACATAATTATACACACACACACACACACATACATATATATATATATATATTATATATATATATATATATATATATATATATATATATATATAAGCGGGGGGGGGGGCGCCAAATTGAAAGTTCGCCCCGGGCGCCGGGAAGGGTCGCTACGCCTCTGCTAAAAGTGTCTCTACTGTCACAAGCCACACCTGTATGGGATATATATATATATATATATATATATATATAGACATATATATATATATATATATATATATATATATATATATATATATATATATATATATATATATATATATATATATATATATATATATATATATATATATAGACAGATAGATAACGCGGAGGGCTAAAATCCGTATTTATAAAAGAGAATAGAGACACCTTTGCTCTCCCTTAACCTACTTGGGAGGACTACGGTGTTTCCAGACAGATTAACAAAAATGATCAAATAGTAATTCGTTACAGTTAAAAAAACTGTTAATCTAAATAACTATGTTGTGAACTGTGTTAGTCACATTCGAAATTTTAAGGGTGGGGTTAGGTTGCATAAAAGGTACGAAACTGGGGACAGTTATACATTTTATAATAATGTCTTCTTCTTCATTCTTAATTTTGGCCTTTGTCCAACCAAGAATAACGGTAGCAGCTGTTTGATTTTGGAGTCGTCTCTCCAGCTATTGAGCCATCGGGAGTTCGAACTCGGGACTTACAGGTTCAACAACCATGTGCTTAACCGACCCGACCACTCCGTTATATATGAAGACAGGTGTTGTTTATTATTTTGTTGTATTACATCAGGTAGGTGTGGCTTTGTTTCTGTAACGTTGGGTAGGTGTGGTTGAGAATAGTAGTATATAAACACAGCCTTTATTTGTAATTAATTAATATTGAGGGCCGGGTATGATATAAAGCTCAGAAGTGATGGGTACTAAGTTGATACAACTACTTCATTACCCAGCACTTCATTTTTTAGAAGGTGCGTGTTTCTGTGGCACATGAATGGTGTACATACATTGTTATTCGTAACCGAATATGGAAAAACTAATTATTGTTGACTGATAAATGAAGTCAACATTTTTTTTTACGTATTTTGTGTACCGATTTAATTTTTTATCTAATTATTTTAACATTGGTTTAAATAATACAGCATGTTTGTTAAATAATAAAAAAAAATCCTACATTCAAAATGTTTGTGGTATCAATGTTTTGTCGTGTTTTTTTGGAGCAGGGAAGGGGGTGTTTTCCCAGAAATTTTATAAGAAATGAAGGGGGGGGGGGGGGGTGCTATGGAAATATTAAATAACCGTATGAGTGGTAAGGGATGGGTTAAAATATAATGTTTTTGTGTAAAATGTCATGTTTTCGTGCTAAATAATTATGCGAAATAAATATTTGATTTAGTTCCAAGTCTAGTGATAGGCTAGGGTTCGTAATAGGCGAAATTGTTTTAAGGCACCGAATTGAGTCATTCCTGGGACGGCGTGGTCGAATGGTAGAGCGTATGACTGCTAGCCCGAAAGTCTCGAGTTCGGATCCCGATGTCTATCAGATGTCACTAAGTCTATCTAGTCTGATGGGTACCTGAATCACGTTAAACAAACTATTGCGGCTGGGTGTAGTGCAGACCACACTATACCCTCGTATGCCGAGGTTATTGAAACAGATGAACTCTACTTCACCTGACCCATGTGTCTTGGGCACGAACAGGAAAAGATGACGAATTGAATCATTTACTCCTACGTGTTGAACTGAGCAGGATTGAAGGATAGTCCAGGGGGTCGAAATTGGCAGTTTCGTTTTAAATTATCTATTTACATCAGACGTTCTTAGTACTTCACCAACAGGAGACATCACATTAATTCCTGAAAACCATTCCCGCTCTACCCCAGATCAAATTTCATTGGTCGAAATTTTAATTTCAAAATCACGATTTATTTCAATGCTACGAACAAAAAATATCCTGTTTTTTTAAATCATTATTTGACCTTTCATTGATTACAACATAACAATCCTTTTAGTTCCGGGGTAAGGTAAAACACGACCACATGTTTTATTTTAGTATGTTAATACCATTACTGACGTAGGTATTGTATATCACCATACCTTTTTCCTGTAACTTTACTACGCTCTGATTCCTCGCACTCTGAGCTAAATTTAGACCGGAAGTAATCCCCCAACCCCCACCCTCACTCGTCCCACACAAAATATCGCGGTAACTTACTTCACCTTAACACCCGGACCTCCAGGTAAAGAAGAATATAAACGTTGTTTTAAGCCGCTTGTCGCATTTGTTCACCACACGCGCCAACCAAACGACCGTCTATTCACGTGATCTCAATAGACCAATGAAAAGGTGTGTTTGTTTACACCGCATCTAGCAAAAAAAAAAAAAAAAAAAAACCTGCGTGCTTGCTAGGTCACATTTTTTTTCAACGTTTTCAGCTCAACATTAAATATTTTACATCAATATTTGACTGAAAATAATTTCACGTCTGCGTTTAAAAAAAATATTGTTTCACGCGATCAGAGGTTAGCGTCTGGCTTTAGAGGTCAAGCCGTTTTGAACCCATCTTCTACAACTGTTCAGTTAACTTTAAGTTGGATAGAATAAGGTAAGAAAAAATTTTTAAGTTACTTTTCCTTCCTTTAGCCTTAACATTTTTAGGACATATTGTTGTTAATATTCTTTTTCTTTTATCATAACTGAATATTATTTTTACCACTTGTTTTTTTTTAATTCCGATAAAGATACTAAATCAAATCGTTTTTTATTTCATAATTTTAAAAAAAGTTTCTTTTAATACGGCCTATCGTGTATCTAGTACTTAAGGTTTAGGGATTAAGTATTATAACAACTAATTACTCAGATAAATAAACAGCCAAGAAAAGTAAATGGGCTTAGTTTTTAGGTAAAGTTCCTTTTTCGGACGGTCCATGGGACAAGTGAAGTCGAGTTTACATGTTTCTTTGACCTAGGCATATAAGGGGATGGTGTGGTCAGCACTATGTCCAGTCGGACATAACTATATTTATTATGTGAATTATAATAAAGCACACATCGTTATGTCTTTAAAAAGTATGTCAAATGTGTTGGTCATCTGTCAAACTTGTTGGTTATCTGTCAAACTTGTTGGTCATCTGTCAAACGTGTTGGTCATCTGTCAAACTTGTTGGTCATCTGTCAAACTTGTTAGTTATATGTCAAACTTGTTGGTTATCTGTCAAACTTGTTGGTTATCTATCAAACTTGTTAGTTATATGTCAAGCGTGTTGGTTATTTGTCAAACGTTTATGTAATCTCTCTAATGCCGTGGTTGGGTTCCTTTTAGTAAGTTTTTTATTTTAAGATTATGGTTAAAGTTAAGATTTTAATTGTCTTGTTGTGATAGACCAAAGCCCAGTTTTTGAATCTATGAGTCTACATATAAAGCACTGTCTGTCCTCAGAAACTAACAGACTGTCCATCCGTCATCCGACACCAACATGGCTGTCATCCGTCCGTCATCGGCACTGACGGCCACCCTCTACACCCACTGCATCATTTTCGTCGTCGTCGCCATCTTCAACTTCTCCATTGTCGACAATGTCCTGCAGGTCAACTTCGGCTTTGGCATCGCTCTGATGGTGCTGGCACTGATTGCGCTACTGTTGAGTAAGTCATTGGTTGATTCTTTGTTAAGTCATTGGTCAATTCTTTGTTGAGGCGTATTTGGTTATTTTGTTATTTTTAACATGTATAGTTTACCAGTGGTACTAACCGCGCTACCACCGAATAACTCATCATTGGACCATTCTTTGTTTGGCCTTTTTTGTTTTTTAAACTCTTATTTCATAAATTAGATAGTCACAAATAGATAGTCACTTAGTTGTCCATTCCATTAACCCAATAATTTAAAAAAAAAAATGTTATTTTCATTTTATTAAATATATTGCGGATTTTGTTCGTTGACCAATATACCGATTCTTAAATCTAACTTTTATACTCTAGCCCCGAATCTTAGAAATCTAGACTAAAATTTAAAAAATATAGGTGTACTTGATTGCCAACGTTATGTACGAAACATCTGTAGTTTGGTATCAATTAGCTGTGTGTAGCCTTCTATGTTATGACGAATAGTCTTAACTTTAAGTTAATGTTCGGGATTCGTAGTGTTATATCCGGTTGCTAAAAGAAAAGAAAATGGACGATGAATTACCAAAATTGGTTTAGAGGAATTGTATTTGAGACCTTTCATGTAAAGTTTGAACTTGTAACAGAATTAACATTTTTGTCAGTAATGGGAACACATTAATAATATAACACTAAAAGTGGTTTTTAAAATCCCTACAAAACATGTCTTTGAAATACTTTTAAATCAAAGGATTGTATTTGTGTTTTGTTTCCTCCTATGCCAGGCGTGACGTCACCTGACCAAGACAGCAGTCTGCTCCGGTCTCTCCTCATGTCCATCAGCGCGCTCTGGACGGCCGTCGGGCTGTACCACGTGGTACAGTTCTACACCCCCAACAACATCACCGACTCTGAGGCATTATGGGCCGGCTATGGCACCTTCCTCCTGACCTTCCTCTTCTACGTGTGTGGTTCCCTCCACCACAAAGATCGCTTCTGCGCCATCCTCTCTCTTGGCATGTTTCTGTCCTGTATCTTCGAGATCGCTGCTCTCTGGACTCCAGTTCGCAGAAGCGCCGCTGCGTACTATCTCCTCCTGGCTTTGATAACCTTATACCTAACCGTTTCCACGTTATGGACCAGGTTTCGAGAAGGCGAACCCAAGCCTAAAATTTCCCAAAGTGAAGAGTTCAAAACGTCTAAAGATTATATCCCTATGGCGCATGTCATGAATACATTAGCCGCCGCGGTGTATGCTGGGCAGGTGACGCGGATTTTCCAACACGCGTCTGCTGAGTTCACATGGGTGATCGTTGCTGGCGTTTTCCAACTTGTTGCCGCGGTGGTTGCCGTCAGGCGAAACGAAATCTACCACGGGCTCTACTTCATCTTCCACGCCACCTTCTGGATCACCAACGGTTTCAACCTCGCCGTCGTTTTCACGACAGGCGAGCTTGTCCCTCTTACCCTCATCGCCGCCACCGTTATCCATTTCATCATCTTCGCTGTCATTGCCATCATCTCTCTGACGCGTGAAGTGTACCAGCTGCCCCAGAATCTGGCGCTGTGTGTTCTGTGTGTGGCTATTCTCGTCGACGACAACAACTCAGGGGCGTTTCTCGGGGCGATGGGGTGGATCCTGTTTGTTTTCTCCCTCTACGGTCTAGCCGCTCACATCTCCCGAGTTAAAAACTCCGGTTTCAAACTCCCTCTAGGTACGCGTCTTGTTGATCCAGCGAGAATCGCAAACTTTTTTCTAACGCATTTTAAATCATGTTTCTCGCATGTCAAAACAATAAGCACTTCATCTAAACAAGGGAAAGCTTTATTTTCTGCTGATTTTACTCTCGGTTACTCCCGATACGGTGGTTTTGATGTAGCAGGTTTTGCTTTAAACGCTATCGCCGCTGTAGCCATTCTGTGGAGTCCTTCCGGGCTTTGGGTTTTACCTTGGGCTGTTGTTCTAGGCGGTATCGCTCAGATGATTGTAGGTTCGATCTGTTTCGCTAAAGGGTTATCGTTCGAAAGCTGTGCTTTCTTCACTTTCGGGTCACTGTGGTTGATATGGGGTCCGGCCCGGGGGATCGGAACGATAGATCAGGACAACTCCGCCGCCATCATCACCGGATGTGTCGGCTTCTTGTCCGTCGGCCTTCTTCTTCTCGGTCTTTCCACGATCATCAACAAAGCCTGGACGGTCCTGACTTTCTTCTTCAACCTCATCATCGTCGGCAATCTTCTCCACGCCGTCAACGCCAACGGTTCTTTCATCTACGAGATCGTCATCACGGTTCTTTTCGTCATCGTCTGCATCTACTGTTTCATCGCCACGGCGCTCAGGTCGGTGTGGGGGAGGGAACTGCTGCCCCTGGGGAAACCGTTCCTGCAGGTCAGCTTTCTGCACTCGCAGGGGGAGCAGGCGTTCTGGGCAGACGGTAAACGTGCGAGTGGGGTCAAGGCCATTGCAGGTAAATATAATTGTCTTTTTTATCTTTACAAGTACATACACATTAGAACCAATGTTTTTGTTTCTTAAAAAGTATATAGCCTAAAGACTACTCTATGATTGTAATTGTACGAATTTATTGCAATTTAGTGATCCCGACTATGATAATCATGATAATGATACTTCTGTAAAGGTATATCTATTATGCTATTGATACTTCAGATATCATGAACAGAGGAGGTATCTGCGGTATACCAACAGATACAGTTTATACTCTGGTCGCTGCTTGCAAGTTCCCTGCCTCAGTTGAGGTAAGTTTCATCATGTTTGTTAACAATTCTCTTACACCAAACCATGTTTGTTAACAGTACTCTAATGTTAAACCATCTGTATGTTTGTGCATCTCATACCCTTTCAATGTGTGCGAAATGTCTAGTGGTTACCATATGTAAAAGTATATAATCATGGTAACGATTTCTCTAAAGCAAAACTCCTTGTACAGCAAATTTTACTATCGCAACTAGTGTACCGTATGCCACATGTTTATGCCATATACCGATTGTATCGTGGGTCCCATATGTATTACCATACACCTCTTGTATCTGATCACCAGAGAGCGTACAACACGAAAAAGCTGGCCGAAGACAGGCCCATGTCCATGTGGATCTCCAAAGTGGAGCAGCTTGAGGCAGGTCGCCCCCTCTTTGGCGAGCTAGTCTGGGGCCTGATGAACGAGATCTGGCCCTCAACCGTCAGCCTTGTCGTCCCCAAAGGTGAGGGTCACGGTTCAATCGCAGTCCTTGTAGCATTAGCTCTGGTAAACTTGACTGATTTCAGAGTCAAGTGGAAAGCATATCTTGAAAGTGAACTTGTTGTACAATATATATATATATATATATATATATATATATATATATATATATATATATATATATATATATATATATATATATATGTATATGTATATATATATATATATATATATATATATATATATATATATATATATATATATATATATATATATATATATGTATATATATATATATATATATATATATATATATATATATATATATATATATATATATATATATATATATATATATATATATATATATATAAACACTCGTATAAAACACGTAACATAAAAATCAAAAATCTTAAAACATTTTAAAAAAAAAACTAATTTACAATCTTAGCTCGTATATAAAAGTAAGACATTATACAAAACCCCATCAGACAAAACACTATAAAAACCAAAACAAAACCTCTCCACAATATCGTTAAGAACCGCTAAAGTACCTGACGTCAAAAAAACGTTTGGTTCCATCAGGTGAATGGCTCCAGACTCTTGGCATCGGAGAGTCCGAGAAGTACATCGGGCGTCCGGACAGCATCGCCTGCCGCATGCCGGACAACACCGTGACGTCACACCTCATCGACCAGACGGGGCCGATCGCCGTGACGTCAGCTAACCCCACGGGCGAGGCGGACACGACCCACCACCTCCAGGTTCTGGCCAAGCTGGGCCTAGAAAACGTAGGTTTATATTTTGTTTGGGTCCATTGGCCAAGCATCATTATTAAAACTGTAAATTGCTTTATTTAATACTGTTGGATGTTGACAAGAGTTTCTTTCAGGCATCTATTTGGGGGTTGGGGATGTGCCCTTCCTCGAAAAAGGTCTATCCCCCTGCCCCCTCGTGAATAAAATTTAAAATATTATTTATATAAAAAATATATCATTAATACGTTTCCGCTCCCCGGAAATTTAAGTCCGCCTCCGAAAGATTCAAGTGTCTTTCCCCACCATATTGAAAAATGTCTGAAAGAAATACTGGTGGTGACAGCTTGCTATTATTGTTATAGTAACGAGTCTTAGCTTTTTAGATGTTTATATGCCAAGGAACTCGAAGTCCCCGGATTCTCGCATTCAGATTTCGCCTCTGTTCCACAGTGCGATGGTATCCTGTGTTCCGGGCCCTCTCCGGAAAACATGGCGTCCACTGTCGTAGACTGCCGGAAGTTGAGCACCGAAGGGAAGCTGGCCTTTTTCAGGATCGGGGTCGTCCCCAGGTCACAGGTCGAGGCCATGTTTGAGAAGGTCAAGGCCATTCACGAAGGTGGTGTCCCTCCGAGCATCGCGTCCACGACTTCAGTTGGGAACGGTTGTCACGTGAATACGGGATTTGTGGTGAGTACAGGACATGTAGGGCATGGGGTTGGACATGTAGGACATGAGGTAGGACATGTAGGATATGGTATTGGACAAGTACAGGACATGTAGGACTTGGGGTAGGACATGTAGGACAAGTACAGGGCATGGTATAGGACATGTAGGACATGGTATATGACATGTTCGACATGGTGTAGGACATGTAGGATATGGTGTAGGACATGTAGGACATGGGGTAGGACATGTGGGACATGGGGTAGGACATGTAGGACATTGTGAAGGACATGTAGGACATGGGGTAGGACATGTAGGACATGGTATAGGACACAGTATAGGACACATAGGACAAAGTAAAGACATGTAGGACATAGTGTAAGACATATAGGACAGTATAGGACATGGTGTAGGACATGTAGGGCATGGTACATGACATGTAGAACATGGTGTAGGACATGTAGGACATGGTGTCGGGCAAAATATTGGGACACATAGGACAAAGTATACGACATGTAGGACATTGTGTAGGACAAAGTAGGCATTGTATTTGTAGAGTCATTATCGGACACTGATAGCACAACTACCCATGTTGTCTAAAATATTCATTCGACTAATTAGTTTAATTTGTTGAACAGGATGACCACGGTGACCTCGGCGACAACGCCATCTACGGCGAGACAGCCGCCAACACCAGCCAGTCGCAGATCGTGCCTTCCGTCTCCAACAGCACCAACACGTCCTTCGACGTCAGCTTCGCCGAGTCCACCGCCGACGACGACGCCCAGCTCATCAACGTCATCGGCTCCGGTTTCCTCCGCCACAGCAAGCACAACCCCGCTGCAACTGGACTCGCCGGTCGCGTGAACAAAGTCTACGATAGCCTCAGACCCCTCCAGCGTAAAATAGACAAAGCCAACACCCCTAAGCAGAATGGGCACACCCCGCTTCCCAGCCCCGCTCAGGACTCTGAAGGTGATACGGACAAAAGCTCGAATTCCGGAAGCGATTCCTACGAACCCATGCAGATTCATACGCCAAGGTCAGGTGCCAGTATTGACGACCTTCAACAAATTGATCTGATTTCTGATAATGTAGCGCCGAATTTTAGTATAAACCCGCTCTTTGATGAGACTCCAATGTATACAAAACTTTAACAAAAAAAATCTAAATTGCTCCTTAAATTAAAAAAAAAAAACTAAGCAATAACTTTGGATAGGTGATTCCTTCATTTCGCATTTTTAAAGTTGCACCAATTAATGACGTCATGCTGTTGTCTCGAAGTTAAGCACCGGTGGGGGATCATTCATTAAATTATTTCAACTTTTCAATGCTTTAATCTCTGATTGCCATGAGGGTATAATATGTAGGTTACATTTTGGTGTGAGTTAATCATGTGCTAAATATCAGCTTGTGATGTAATGTATTTTTACCATATGTAATCAAGGTTGTCTTTTTATGGTAAACTGTTAAATCGCTCAAAAGGAAACATGTATGTGTATGTATGGTTGTCACATTAAGACATATGGATGGACTAAGCCTGCTTGTGGTCTTTAATATAGCATATACAATATATATTTTGTGGAGGGGTTGGCGGGGGAGGGGGGGGGGAATAGAGATTTAATTCCTAAGATATGTGCCTATAAGCACATATACATTAAGAAATATGTGACAGAAAAATGATGTGATATAAAAAATTACAAAAAAAAAGTTTTTTAAAACTTCATATACAAAAAAATGCCAACATTTTTTAGTGACTGATCCTACACCCGATAATTGTATGCGAAATTGTACATTTTATAAATGTTGCATAATGTAGGAATGTTTTGTTTTTTTAAATAAATGATGCATTTTGTATAAAAGTGGCATTTTTTAGGAATGTTACAATTGTATGAATATTATATGATGTATGAATGTTGCATTAGCTTACGAATATTGCACGCTGGTCATAATTTGGAAATTGTACATTTTATTGTCACTTTTTGTTTACAAAAACAAATAACAAACATATTCTGTCGAACGAGAAGCTACTACGAAAATATATTTAAAATGTCACCATAATTAACATTGTTTTTTCTTAGCTTTCTATATATTGTGATGATCCTTTTATGCTTATGTATTATTATGTCTATGTCATGGTACAAATCATGAATGAATATTGTATGGGGCTTATATTATGAGATAAGATGTATAGAATGTTCTATTTTTAATCACATGACAAGTTGTATTATGTGTATACTCCGTACATTTAGGTCTAATGTAAATACTTCTTACTGCTGAATTTAAAAAAAAAATGTTTGAAAGAATTTTTCGTTATTATTTTTATGAATATTGTTTTTCATGCATTTGGTAAATAAAGATGTGAAAAAATTTCAAACTCTTCACTATTATTGATCATACTCGTCTATAATCAAATACAAAAACTTTCATAAGCTATACCAGTGGTTTTTAACCTTTTTTTAGAGGTACCGAACCCCATGAGTTTCAAATGCGTATTCACCCAACCCTTCTTAATAGTTCTATCGTCCGCAATGACAAAATAATATGAGTCGGGCGTGTGCTTTGATCTCCGCCGATTCCCTAGGGTTCGATCGAACCCAGGTTAAGAACCACTGTGCTAACTAATGCAAAAATGAAGAAGTACCTCAGAAAACGAGCAAATTAAACAAAAAGTTAACTGTTGAAAACTGTGTTGGAGAGATGTGTGATGTGGTCAATTTAATTGTTTTAGTTGTATTGAAGAGTTGGTCTAATGCTGTCTAGGCGAATTTTGGAACTTGGCTTTCGGAGTTTTAGAAGTAGAATAATTTTCCCAGCATGAACATTTAAGGAATGTAGTACTTACTAGTATTCTCTGGGACGTTGTAGTTGTATGACGTTCGCATTTAGTAGTACAATTCTTTTTAGACATTAGAATGTTTTGGAAAGTAATTCTTTTTTTAGACCTTGATTTTTTTATTTATTTTAGGAATAAACATTTATAACAGTTTTCTACTTTTAGGAATATGATACTTATCAGAACTTAGTTTGCTACTTTTAGGAATATGATACTTATAAGAACTTAGTTTAAGAGTATCATCATCTTTTCCCCGTTCGTGCCCAAGACACATTGGGGCAGGTGAAGTAGAGTTCATCTGTTTCCGTGACCTTGGTATCAGAAGAGATAGTGTGGTCAGCACTGTGCCCAGCCGCCTTTACTTTCCCTACCTTGAGTTAAATAACAATCAAAGTTGGGTGGACACAGGGACGTTCTACTGACTTGAACCCGGATTCGAACGCGAGACTCTCGGGGTTAGCAGCCTAGCAATTTAGCGCTAGATACTTCTAAAAGCTTGATATTTTTCGAAACAAATGAGACCAGCTTAAGGTTTTCTTAAAAAATGAGATATATTTACCCCCAAATCAGTAGAATTACTTTAGGGCCATTTTTTCTTGTAGGAGTTTTTATAATTAAGTGAAAAGGGCCCAAGGGATCCGGCTGCTTCGAGTCAGTCAGAGGGACCCCTAAATTCGAATGTATCGGGACCCATTGACATCGAGCCACAGTCAACAGAAAAAAATCTTGTTTTCAAACGTTTTGTGGGTACAAATGGAAATAAAAATGGATAACAGTTGAAAGTGTTATCGTTGTTATCTTTATTTCAGGACCATTGTAGTTTTAGTGAAACGTTTATTAAATGCTTTCACACAGCACGTCCAACAGCGTCTGAGCATAGTGTAGACCCCCCCCCCCCCCCCCGCAACAAAGATCCGAAAAAAATAGCAACGGCGTTGTTAACATTTTAAATAGACCTATCTCAGTTTTAGAAAACAAGGCCACACGACTAAAAATACATAATTGGTAACGCGTTGATGAAACCCGTACGAATAGTTTTGTTACCCTGGAATGTTGGACTAGATCTCAGCAACGCGGACGGGTGCGCAAGTTAGTATAAACCTTCTTCAACATTCCACGGTGATCGGGAAGGAGATTTTGATGTTTGCGATGGAATTTTCAAATCTCAATTTTTGCTCACTATGATGAATTTATTTGTTATGAAACAAATTGTAGATATGCCCATTTGGGTCACTAGCTTGGTCATCCTAAGAAACGAATATACAGAAGCAACTAAAGTAGATATCAATTAACATATTAATCATTTTGAAAAATCAAAAGCATAAAAAAACAGATCTAAATAAATAATGAGCAATTTAATGAAAAAAATGGTGTTTGGTTAGTAGCGTCACAAGGTGGGTGTTACTCTAAGTGTTTACTAAAGGTGTCACCCCCATCGTCTCCAACAAATTACATTTTCGGAGGGGTGTCACCCCTCCCTCGCTAATCTTTTATTATGTTTTGTCATAAATGTTTTCATCAAATGTGGACCGCACCTCTGCCCCTGTCTTATGACCCTCCTGTGTTTGTTTACTTAGAAAAAAAAAACAAATGTAACATTTTTACAACATAATAATATAGCATAAATACACAGGACGTATAAAATACAAAATGTACAGAATATTTATTTAAAATCCGCCATCATAAGAAGCAGTTGTTTTCTTCGTTAGACTCTATTGTTGCCTGACGGCTGACGAAGGGGCCCACTGATATTTTTGCATAGGGGTCCGAAAATCCTAGTTACGCCACTGTTTAGTTTAGCTAAAATGTATTGCTTCTATGGATGAAAAAACAAGACAAAAAAAACCTTTAAACAGGATGGGGGAGAGGGTGGGGGTGGGGGTCATTAGGTGTATTATCTTTTGACTTGCCTTAAAAGTTTTTTTGTTACACTCTTTTTTTATGTACACGCGTACATACTTTACCCACATATAAAAAAGACTGACCTCACATACATGGGTGGACTTGCTGTGTCCAACACGCCCGACAAATTTTAAAAGGGGCCCCAAACCACAGACTAAAATTCATTTTTAATTATCTTTTTATTTATTTCCATTCAAGCCTGAATATTTTACGCAATGGTATAAAGGAATGGAAATGGCAAAATGGAGATATACCTAATTATTAATTTTTAAATCAAAATTTTAAAAGATTTTTTCTTGGAAGCCCACCGGGATTTTTTCACAATAGACCCGCGGGCCAGTCTACTCCTGTACGAATTTGCATAATATTACATACTCCTACGACTGACATCAATAGAGAATACCCACCCTATGTAGTGATACCATTACATTTACATTACTCCTACACACGACCCCCCCCCTAGGATCCCTACGCAAGATGCTAATCAAGACGCCCGCGAGCGACGTGAACAAGTCTAAATATAACATTCCAGCTAACTAATATTTTAAACGTAATTTTACTTTTTTAGATTTACAACGGATATTCTGCCAATTCACGTTTGACAGCTTTTTATCATGTACGTGCACGCATGAACGCAATCAAACTATCAGAAAATACACACCCGGAAGTGACGTCATCTGTACTATTCTCAGATTTTTTAGAACTTTTTTTTATCAGCATCTAGAATCTATTTGTAGACATCGCTGAAAATAACTTATTTAACAACATTTTTTTTAATATTTTTTTTTTCAACAAAATTTTTAACCAATAAAAGCAAAGCTTCTAGATATTCCCACACAGGAGGGCGTCTAATTAAGGTTTAGCGAAGCGGACATTTTTTATTTTTTTTTTAATTATTATTATTATTTTTTTTTATTAATTTTTTTTTAATTAAAGTATGTTTTCGTTTCAACGAAAATGAAATCAAATCGTACCACACCAAAAGATTCCGCAATAAACTACGTAGGCTACAGGTGTAGTATTTCACGTCATAGGTCATGTTCTAGATCCCGTGGGTGGCACAAGTTCCTAGTTGACATTACAAATAATTTGATAACGTGTGCATAAATTTATGAGGATTAGAGCTGTTTTTTGGGAAATAAAAAAAAAACGTAGCTTCCTGATACACACACATACAAACACACACACGCACAAAAACACGCCTATTGCCAGCAGGAAAGCCTAAGGCAAAATGTCTTTTGCCCGAATTTTGTTGGTGAAATGTTGATTTACCAAAGGTCTATTGTACTAAATCTAATTACATAATGGTGATTACCTGGAAAAAAAACTTTTAAAACTCAAGTTAACTTATTTGGTGTAAGTAAAGTAAGTAAAGTTCCCCTTTCAAACCGCACGGTCTATGGGGCAAGCACAGTAGAGTTTACCTGTTTCTGTGAGCTCAGCACATGAAGGGATAGTGTGGTCAGCACTATGTCCGCCTGCCTTTACTTTCCCTCACGTGAGTTAGGTACCCATCAGAGCTGGGTGGACTCAGGGACGGTCTACTGTATTGAACCCGGATTCAAATTCGATACCTACGGGTTAGTTGTCTAGCTCTCTACCGCTAGGCCACTCCGTCACTTTATCTGGTATGTTGACTTACGCCCACATAAAAAAATGACACCACTTAAAATAGATATCTTATAAACATTGTATGTTCTTATTTATAGTCATTACGTATATTGTAATTTAACTAATACGCGTTAATATACACAGGTAATGCTTGCAAATGAAAAAAAAGGAAATAACTTTATTTTCCAATTCCAATTATTTTCTATTCAAAACTTTAATGTAGTTTTTTTAGCAAATGACCGTTTGGGTAAATGTCATTTGGGCAATGGCAGTGTTTCTTCCAGACTTTTTTCTCCGGGGGGGGGGGGGGGGAGGGGCACTTAAAATTTTCGGTGGGGCGGTCAACATTTTTCGGGGCGGGGGCGGACACTAGTAAAAGTGTATGGTTACTATGTAAAATCCATCTCGTTCGGGGAGGGGGGGGGGGGGGGGCGGTAGACTTTCTTCCCGAAGAGATGCCTGGAAAAAACTCTGGGCAATGGTCGCAGACGATATTTTACAATATAAACTGCTATATCCATATAATACACACAAATGAACAACATATGCATTTATTTTCAAATTAATCGTACCAGGATATGAAAGCGGGGAACAAAAGAAAAAACTTTTATTTTTAAAAGATGTATTGTCTTAACGTGGGATAAGTCCTGGTCGATGACTGGATTACTTAGAAGGTTTGGTATTGCTTCATACTTAACGTCAATTTAGATTAACCTTCGCAAAGTCACTTTTGTTTTTTACCTACGTTAGTTCCTGGTTGGTTGTTAGCTTTCTGATATAAACTCATGTACTCGCCACGCCCACCTGAATCACGATTCCCGAATTATCCCTTGTAGTTAACATGACTGTATCCCCCCCCCCCCCCACCCATAAATTTTCTAGTCACGTGATACACAAGTGACCTGTGGGGCTGTAGCAAAGCTTTGGTTTCTCTGAAGACAGGCCGGAAATGAGAAGTTCACGTGGGACTGTGTCAGGGTGGAAAGGGAAAAAAAATTGTCCAGTTCC